CCAGCAGTAACTTGCAACCAGCATTTAAACTCAGCGCTGTCTCACTCCCTCGGGACCTCTCCTTGCCCACCCCACTGTGTTCTGCAGCAGGACAGGATGTAAGTGAGTGCAATGCTAAGCGATGTGGTTCCTGCATGGCAGGGGCTGTGCCTGACCCATGCCTGTGTCCCCTGCAGCTGGGAATTCAGGGTCCCACACACAGAGGTGCTTGGTCATTCCTGGGGCTTCAAAGTGCAGGCTGGGCTCCTGAGGGGGTGGGGCAGAGATGGCTGATTGCCAGCCCAAAACATGCTCTCTTCTCCTTCCTTATTAACTGAACCTCTCCTTTTAACTGAGTACTCTGCTTTGGTGCTGCCTCCATCCTGCTGCTGCAACACAGACGTGATGGCTAAAGCTCTGGCAGCCATCCTGGACCATGAGGACAAGGGCCACTCCCTAGGGACAGTGAAACAGAGCTGGAAGGAGCCTACAACCCTGATGACTTCACAAAGCTCCCATGCCAGCCCAGGAATGCCTGGACTTCATTTAGATAAGAAATAAAGCTCACTCTTGCTTAAGCCACCAATATCTGGGGGTTCCCATGCTATATTCTATCAAACCTGGTACAGCAAGGAAGGCTTATGGAAGAGATAAGTCTTGACATAGTTTTAAAAGCGTAGTATTCCACTTGACAGACAGCAGGAGACAACAGATGGCTCAGAAGCAGAGCAAGCAAAGCTCTATGATAAGGAACAGCTTTTCCTACAGCTTAGGAAGGAAAGGCTGGACAAGGAAGCTGAAGCCAGCTACTGTGGGTCTAGAAGGCTGGAATGACCTGGGATGACAGAGGTTTCGAGTGGAAATGATGTGATAAAGGCAGCGTTTTAGCAAGGTGAATGCAGCAGTCTTTCCCAGGCCAGCTGAGCCAGGATAGCCTGGAAGAAAGAAAGCTGTTCAGTCAGATGTTTCCTGAATGCCTACTATGTGCCAGGCATTGTGCTCCCAGGGAAGGCTGCACAGAGAAAAGGATGCCTGAACTGAGTCTGAAAGACTGGCAGGAGAGCACCAGGTGCTCCTGGACCCCTTACAGCAGGGACTCCTACGCTCGCCTCTGCAGCCCCATAAAAACTCCGATTCCCAAGACTCGTCCAGGACAGTCTGACCCACAGACTGGGGCAGGGCCCAGGATTCTGTATTTTTACTAAGTGTCATCAGGTGATCATATGCAGTTAGTCTATAGACCTATTACATAGGCTAGAAGCAGTTCCTAACCCAGTACCTGGTTTGGATAGTTATTAAATAAATGAACAAAAAATATACTCCCTTAGTGCAGGAGTGTCTCATCATAGGATCTTCAAGGTAAAAAAGTTTAAAAGAAAGAGAAAAAGAAAAAAATTCTGAGTAGGGCTGTGAGGACGGGACATTGTGGACATCACCCATTCACAGGGTTGCCAGGAGTCAGAGGCAACGTGACAGCACGTAACCACCACTGTTAGGAGATAAACCAGTAGATTCTGAGAGACTTTCAATAATAACTGAAAGATTATTCTGGCTAAATGAATGGTTTTTTAGCTAGTAGTTCATTAACCAAAACACAATCTCAGGTCACTGTGATCAATTTCCACAACCATTTCAGCAAACAGGTATTTCTGTGTCACTTGAAAATGGCCCTCTGGGTGTGAGCATGTCTATGCTGCTCACGGTAGCCCTGCTCTGCATCCTGCAGACACGGGCGGGGGGCGGTTCCCAGGGTGTCTGCAGACAGTTGGGCGGGCAAGGAGCGGCCTTCCTCCTCCCAAGGTGTTCTAACACACTTCAAGGAAACCCTCCCTGGAAGTGACTTGTCCTCCCCACCCTATCTTAGAGAGGAGAAGAGCTCCTTAGAAGGGAAACATGGTACAAAAGGAAAACATTGGCCCAGCTCACGGGGTCTAGCCCCAGCCAGTCAGTAACTCCCCACGTGGCCTTGGGAAGTTTCCTCACCTGGTGTGCTACGTGCTCTGGAAGATCCCTCCCAGCTCTGATGCAACCAGGGTGAGAATTTCTACAGTTTCCTTCTTCCTAATTAATATGGAATAGATAATTCTCAGTATAAAATGCACTCCCACATGTAAGGCATGATGTTCGGTGCTGGGGATAAAACATTTCAGAGAAGGCAGGGTCCGTGCCCTTAAGGGATTTACAGTCTAGCAAGGTAGACAAATAATTCATTCAATAATTAGATAATTACAACTGTGATAAACGTTGCTACAGAAAGGTACTTGATGCTATGAGAGGGTGTTATAGGGGCTCAGGAAAGGGTTACCAAGGAAACAACATTGACACTGAGACCTGAAAGCAGAGTATGAGCTAAGGATGCCGGCACGGGGGTATTGCTGGCAGCAGGGAAGGCATGTATGAAGTGGTGCCCGAAGATGCATTGCTTTCAGGAATACTCAAAACCTGAGGAAAAAATTAAATGACAAATAAAATGAGGCAAACCTTTTAGGACCACACATTTAAAGAAAAAAGAGCACCTCTTATCACAAACAGAAAACAGATTCACACAATATGAACTCAAAAGTAGTGGGAGCACTTTTATGCTGGAACTGATAAATCCTTATCTGACGACAGCCATCTGGCTGGAAGCCCTGGACCCTCACCTCTCATGTCTCAACAGGGGTGGGGTCAATTCCTTCAGGTCATTTGCAGCTGCCTCCAGGCCTTGGGTGACCACTACGGCTGTCAGAACAGGGCTCACCAAAGGGAGGGAGGGAGTCAGAGCATGAAACACAGACCCCAAGATGGGAACCCAGCCCTGAGGCTGGCCTGCCCCTGGACGAGTATTTCTGGTGTCACTATGTGCCAGGCATTATGCATAGGGATGGGAGACACAACATGATATAGTCACAGCACCAGGGGGGTACTTGCAGGAGGAAGAGGAAGACACGCCTTTCAGAGGGGGATCCCTCGGACAGCTCCAAGGAGGGGATGGTATCTGAAGATGGGCAAGACTTGGAGATGGACAGAGAAAGAGTATCCTGACAGAGGGATGACATAAGCAAAGGTATGTTGGCTGGAAAACACTGGGTGTGCAATAAGTAGCTGTGGCTGGAAAACACTGGGTGTGTAGTTAAGTAGCTGTGGCTGGAAAGCACTGGGTGTGCAATAAGTAGCTGTGGCTGGAAAGCACTAGGTGTGCAGTAAGTAGCTGTGGCTGGAAAGCACTGGGTGTGCAATAAGCAGCTGTGGCTGGAAAGCACTGGGTGTGCAGTAAGTAGCTGTGCCTGGAAAGCACTGGGTGTGCAATAAGTAGCTGTGGCTGGAGCTTGGCATACGGGGACGGCAGAGATCTGGCAATGGTGTAGAGTAAGCCTGAGTTGCTTCCTCTGTCTCAGAAAGTGAAGGGATGACAATGCTGGTCAAATCTCAGCTCTGCCCAGACTGGACCTGTGACCAAGAGCCCTTGGCTTTCTCCATTGGACTAGCACAGTTACTCAGACATTATATTCCTAAGGATCACCTGGGACAGGGTGCCAGGCCCTACATCTGGAGATTCTAATTAGGTAAATTGAAAAACCCCAGGTCAGACAGTGGGTCCCAAAGGCCCTTCCAGTCACAAGGTCCAGGTCCTGGACTCTTGGTCTCCTACAGCATGAAATCCAGACTCAGGTGCCCTTCCCTGTGGTGGGTGTTCCCGACAGGCTCACTTGTCCTGTGCAGGGAACAGACCTTTGATGCTATGGGGGAAGCAGGAATGGAGAGCTGTGGAGTGCTGGGCATGGACTATCTCCAGGGTCTAGGGACATTCCCAGGGGAGGTGAGAGCTGACTAAAAAGGAGCCAAGGGCTCAAGAGGGAAGTAAGGACATTCTGGGCAGAGTACAGCTTGTGTAAAGGCACATTCAGTACCGTTAAGATGTAAGGTGCATGTAGGGGAAGGACAAGAAGCAAGGCTGGAGAGGAAGGCTGGGCCCACAACACAGACAGCCCTACCAAGAAACTGGGACTTGATTCTGTAGGCAACAAACAGCAGACCCTGAACCCTCAGGACCCTAGCAGCAGCTCCCCTGAGTCACTCTCTGGACACAGACACATGAAGCCCTACTCTTGCCTCACCGCCCTCCCCCAACATCAGTCTCCATCCTTTGAGATCACCTACTCCTACCCAAAACTCAGACCTTGGATCCCCTCTGTGCAACCATTAGGTCAAACTGAGGCAAGCAATTTGAGCGATGAACACTAGGCTAGGAACCCAATCTCTGACAAGCAGAGGCAGGCGAAGTGTGATGATGGGGAGAGGTGGGCACCGCCACGGAGGCAGGCTGGTCCAGCCTGGGACAAGGGAGACAGCTCTGCTCGGCTCTCCCCAGATCTTATCTGCACCTCTTCGCGCATTCTCTTCCTCCTTTGGAGGAACCCGCAGCTTCTCTAAATGGGCTCATGACCCTTGAGGGTAGGGGAGAAGGGGGCACGGAGAAGAGATGAGATGGTTCACACTGGCTGGGTCTGGGCTTGACCAGTTTCGACCGCAATACCTTAAGAGATACGAGAAAGTCACTGCAACGTCAACGATGCAAGAGGCCTCACTAAGACCCTGCCCAGCACACTCTGCACAGGATGACTATCGGTGCCTTCAGATGACCTGCTCCATCCTCAAAAGGCTAAGCTTGAGGAGAAGAAAGGGGTGCAGACTCTGAAGGCACTGCTATCCTGCAACGCTAGCAAAGAGGGGGCGTGCCAATTCTCCGGGGGGCCCCACTTAAGAAGGAGAGACGTGGCCGGGGCGGGGGGAGAGGGGAAGTCAGGTGGCACCGCGGCTCCACTCCTGCACAAGCTGAGCGCGACCTTCTGTGGGACACGCCCCCAGACGATGCCTCCAGCATGCTGTGAACACACACGTGGGGCGGTGGTTTAAGGGGTTAGGCTTCTACAGGGGTTGGCAGCGGACAGCGCAACGAAGACACCTCCCTTCGGACCTCTGACTACACCGGGGACCGGGTGGGCCACACGCCGGGGGCCCCCAGCTGCGGTCCCGCTCACCTTGCACTTGAAGCCGGTGGCGGGCGGCAGCAGCTCCCGCAGCAGGGCCTTAGCCACCTCGCGGCTGGCCTCCTCGCTCACGAAATGCAGGTTAAGCACCTCGTGCGCCTCGAACTTGGCAAGGTGCAGCAGGGAGCGGAGCGCGACGCGGGCCTTGGCCTGCAGCGCGGCGTTGTGCTCCGCCTTGGTGAACATCATCAGCAGGTGGTAGTCCACCGGCCCGGCCCCGCCGCCCTCCAGGCTCTTGGCCTTGGCGCCCGGGGCCGGCGCCACGGAGCCCCGCGCCAAATCCGGCGCGGGCGGCGACGGCGCGGCGGGGGCCCCGGCGCGGGCCTCCTTCAGCCTCTTGGTGGCGCTGGAGAAGGTCTCCCGGCCCGAGCCTAGGTAGTAGAAGGCGCAAACGGCAAGCGCCGCGGCCAGCAGCAGCGCGCAGTAATGGGAGCGCACGGCACCCAGGCGCGCCATGGCCCGAGCGCATGGGGGCCCGCCTCGGAGAAGACCCATGCGCCACGGCCGGCGGGCCGAGCAGCCGCCGGCAGCCGAGACCACTACCCCAGCAGCCACTTAGCTCCCCCGGCGGCGGCGGCCATGGCGGGGGCGGAGCCGCGCTGCCTGGAGCCAATCCGCGGGCGCTGATGCGCGGAGAGGCGGGGCCAGGGCTGTCCGGCAGCCGCTGGGTCCTAGACGCAGAGGGATTAGCGCTGAGCCGGCCCGCGCGTCCGCGGCAGCCGCTCCAGCCTGGTCGGAGGAGCGGGTAAGGAGTTGACGAGAAGAAAGCCAGCGGGCGTTACGGTCTGTGAAATGGCCCTCTTAAGTGCCCGCCCCAGACGCTAGAAATCGAAGCTGAGCCTTGAAAGGAATTGAGGCGCCCTAACGCAGGACCTTTGGTTAGCAAAAAGACTAAACTGGACGCACAGAGAAAAATTTTCCCTACCTTTTTTCCCCTAATTTCTTGGAGGCTTTAAGTCCTCTCCCCGTCTCCCTTCACACCTTGAAGACTAGCTGGGGCTGAGGCATTTAAACTAGCAAGCTCCTTCCCCATGCACAATAAACTTGAACGTCTCCCGAGGTGGAAATCGCCTGCCCATCCAACTTGGCATCTCTGAGGATGTGACCAGCAGGGGGCCCCCGCTGCCCAAAACTTCGGGATAGTTCAGAGAGCCCCAGGGGAGTGACACCAGAGACAGTGACAGTAAATTTTTTTTAACAGAATTTAACACTTTAAAAGTCTTAGCATATACCAGGTAGTTTTGCAAATTCTTAACGAAGGCACATTGAGATAACGTGTCCAAGGTCACATAGCGGCAGTTTTGACCCTAGACAGTTGGACATCGCCAACTATATAAAAACTGATTAACTTCAATCTTCCAAGGATTGATGATATGCCATCCTGTTTAAGTAAACATGTACAAATGGTCTGCATGCTTGAAAGAGGTGGAGCTGAAAATGCATGGACTAATGCACGTAGAATTCTCTCTCACCAGTCTATCATGCCCTGCCATTATTTCTCAAAGTGTGGTTCCCAGAACCACAATTCATCTCATTTTTAGCTCTTGTTCTTTTCAATTGGAGCAAACACTTTCTGAAAAACATTGGACCTTTGAAGCAGGCTTGGCAACAAATTCAATACGTATTACTCGCTTGGGGAAAAAAACCCAATAGCAAAATTAACTCACTTGAGTATCAGGCTCTTACTTTTAGTTCCTCTAATCCTCACAACTCTTAAGAGGTATTATTCGCACTTTACAGTGGAGGAAATTGAGATTTACAGAAGTAAACTGCCCACATCTAGTTGGCTAGTAAGTAAAGGAACCAAGATCCCAACTCAAGTCTTACTGCTTCCGAAGCCCAAGCTCTGAGCCAAGATTAGCACTGAAAGCAGTAATTCGAGCTCTGAGTTGTGGATATTTTGCCACAAGCTTCAGCAGATGACTGAGGGTGGGACACCAAGCTCTCTTGGCGGGTTAAGAGCAAGTTAAGAGAGCTGGAGCTCCATGCTGGAAGTCCACCTCACCACTGCAATTTGATAAGACTTCAGGCAAGTTACTTGATCTCTCCAAGCTGCAATTACGCCCATGTGTAAAATGGGGCTAATGCTAGTACCTGTGCCTCACAGGGTGAGAGACAATAGACAAAAAGTACTTAGACCAGTGCCTGGCACTTAGTAAACAATAAATATAAACTATGCTAGAAACACCAAACTCTTTTTAAAAGTCCAAAGATCCAACGAGTACCAAAAAATAATTTAGCAACTATAGCTTTTCTTGGGTATTTACAAATACTACACCCCAAATCTCCATTAAGACTTACTACGTGTTCCACAGAATCCCCACAGCAGTGTGCTACAGCTGTATTATTACATGCTAATTATTGTTCATTAATAAGGGAGAAATAATTCTGGAATTGTGCCCTCTAGTCTTCCCACCTATATCATCAATAGTGTTTTTTTTTAACTCTGCCACTTATTCTAAAATTTATTCAACAAATATTTTATTTTTCAGACTCTTACAAGATCACTGCTCCTGGAATTTATGGATAAGAAATGAATCACAAGATAATTTAAGTTTTACATAGAAAGTCAGGTTTTTTGGTTAGTGCTGTTGAGTGGATTCCGACTCCTAGTGACCCTGTGGACAGCAGAGCAGAACCTTGCCCAATCTTTTTGTGCCATCCTCTCACTAACGGTGCTATATCAGACAATGCTCTGCTGCTATTCATAGGGTTTTCATGGCCAATTTTTTCACAAGTGGGTGGCCAGGTCCTTCTTCCTAGTCTGTGTAGTCTGGAAGCTCCACTGAAACCTGTTGACCATGGGTGGCCCCACTGATATTTGAACTTTCATCATCACAGCAACAGCAGCCATCACAGTCTGACAACCAACAAACCGGTGGTGTGGTTCCCTGACCAGAAACAAACCCAGGCTGCAGCAGTGAGAGCGCCAGATCTTAACGACTGGCAGAAAGTCAGTAGACACAGGAAAATACTCAAGAGACTGGTCTTGCCTCCAGCTTCTTCATTCCCAATTCTTTGACCATAAGGAAAAATTAATGTTGCAGCTTTCTGAAGAATATAGCTGACCAGCAGCTAAAATAGTGAGTTGAAGGTAGCCATTTATTCAACAGATATCAAGTGACTACTACATGCCAAACATAGTAGCACCTGGGAATACAGCAGTGAAAAAACACAACTCCTTGCCCGCAGAGAGCTTACATTCTAGCAGCGGAAAATAGACAAGAAAAAGTATGCAGTGTGTTTGAAGGATATATGTGCTATTTTCTCAGCTTAAAATAAATACATCTGGGTGCACAATAAGTAGATAAAGAACTCTGGTAAGCACAATAACCCTTCAGTTCTAACTTCAGCCAAGTTCTGACTTCTGACCTGAGAAGATTATAGAGGTAATTGGTTTTCCTGTGGTGTAACTTGTACATCTCAAACATTGGATAGATTATCTTTTTTTTTTCCTGTATTGACTATTACCCAATTGAAGGGAAAATGGAGGCACTGTGGACAATTAGACCGGAGCAGTTTCCGGGCAGACGTGACTCAGCATGTCCGTTGCAGGCAGCGCATGCGCTACCCGTGTATATAATCTTATGTAACCTGCATACTGACTGTGTGCCACTTTTGTGTGGAAGTCCTATAAAAGCGGCTGGAGAAGCCACCGGGGGCTCCCTCCCCCTGTGGGCCCAAGAGAATAAAGCATGTCTACACAGCCATCAGATCCGTGCATCTTTTTTCAATTCCCCGAGCCCCATGGTCCAGTCCTCGGGTTCCCACCCCCCCAAATCCACCAACATTGCCAAGAATACACAGAAACTAGTGCTCTTCTCTACAGTAGACGAGGGTTTGTATATTGGTACAACTTTCCTGGAGGGACTTTGGCAATACCAAAATCTTTCCGGCCTCTAAGAGAACTTTTAGTTCTCGCTCCTATTCAAAGGAATGTCTCTCCCGGAGACAGTGGTTCTCAATTTTTGGTTGGCATTAGAAGCACCTGAGGAGCTTGGTAAAAACACAAAGGCTCAGGCCCTATTTATCTTCATTGAGCCTGGGCCTCGATGGTGAGTCTTTTACAGACCAAAGTTTGAAAAGCACTGCCCGAGACCTTCACCCAGCCAACCTCTCCTTCTGCTTCCGACTTTTGCTTAGATGTCACTGCCTGGACAAGTGGTGTCTAAACACCAACACATCCAGTATCCAGGCGAGCCACCATCTTTAACCATCCCGTGAGGACCACCTATAAAATACCCAGTCCCATCTTTCTCCATCCCAAGAAGGCAAGAGAACAGGAAGTGTGTCTACCTTTTTACCATAATATCCCCAGTACTTAACACAGTGCCTGACTCACTGAATGAGCCTCAAAAATACACTCACTCATTGTGAACCAGCATTTTCACATCTAGGAATTCATTCTAAGGAAATAATTAAGAATGTACTCAAATGTTTAGCCATAAGGATAAAGCAGAACTCGGTTTATGATGGTAAGAAATTGGAATCAAATGTTCATGAATAAATTGGTTAAACTTAAATAAGGAAGCTGTCATTAAAAGTGATGCAGTCAACAAACTGCAAGTGGAAATTTCCAAAAATAGTAAGTAGAGGAAGAACCATAGATTTAGAGACTCGAGACATATTAGCCAACTGCAATAAATGGAACTTATATGAATTCTGATTTGAAGAATCTGTTTTTAAAAAACACATTTGAGGGGCTGGCCCCATGGCCGAGTGGTTAAGTTCGCGCGCTCTGCTGCAGGCAGCCCAGTGTTTCGTTGGTTCGAATCCTGGGCGCGGACATGGCACTGCTCATCAGACCATGCTGAGGCAGCGTCCCACATGCCACAACTAGAAGAACCCACAACGAAGAATATACAACTATGTACCGGGGGGCTTTGGGGAGACAAAGGAAATAATAAAATCTTTAAAAAAAAAAAAAAAAAAAAAAAAAACACATTTGAAATAATTGGGAAAATCTGAATACTGACTACATAGTTTTATAGTTTAAGGAAATGTGCTATTATGATTGGTTTTTTTTTTTTTAAGAGCCCTTCTTTTAGAGATACATACTGAACAAGTTGGTGCAATTTCTAGGATTTGGTTTAAAAAAAATCCAGGGAAGAGGAAAAATGAGTGGGAATACAAATAAAACAACGTTAGCCATGAGCTAATAGCTACTCAAGTTATTCTACTTTTGCATGTTTGAAATTTTCCATAATATAAATATTTTTTATACTCCCCCTAAAATGATGTAGAATACTTAAGTTAGGACTTAAAATTGTATTCCTTATTTATTAAGTGCAAGAAGCAGGTAACAAAACAGTATAATCCCATTGTATATAAATAAAAATACATACACTCGAAGGTCTAAAAGGGTATATACCGAGGAAGTAAGTTTCCTCCTTGATACTATCCAGTAGAACTTCCTATGATGATAGATGTCCTATAATCTGACCTATTCAAAACAGTAGTCACTAGGCACATGGCTAGTGCTCTCTTAAAATGCGGCACTGTGACAGATGAACTGAACTCTTAATTTTGCCTAATTTTAATTAAATTTCAGTAGCCACATGTGCCTGGTGGATACCACATTGCACAGCACAGCCAGAGGATGGAATTATGGATGGTGTCTTCTTTTTAACTTATCATTATTTAAACATTTTCCTTATTGTTTTGCAATAAGGAAAACGTGGGCTGTTTGTTTTCATTTAAAACACTGACTGACTATTGATGAGGGTTCTCCACAGAACTATTCTGAAAATGAGGTGAAATAAAGCAAGTTACATAGAAAAAATTTATGTTTCTACTTTCAATTAACTTTTAAAGGAAAGACAAAAGCAGGCAATTCACACTTCCAGGTCTGTTCTTTCAACCCTACATTCCTTCGATCTCAATTCACATAAACACATGTTTTCATTTGTTTACTAAAAGGACTGAATGTGAATGTGTTGCCTAGACTAGGAATTTCAACAGATATATCAATCATAGTGGAAAAAAATTAGAGCTAGGACAAAAAAAACGCCTTTGTGGTTTTTAGCTAATAAATTAATTGGGAGCGATACAGCTCTGTGGTCAGGAAGAATAAAATATTTAAAAGATCAAAATGGATTTCGTGACTGAAGCAATCAGCAAATAGGAGCAATGTGGATCAATCTGACAGGGCTGGAAAGGAATACAGAACGTTAAACACGACGGTCGTTAACAGATATGTCTGCAATTATGTTCACAATAAAGTAGAAGTCTGAGGCATAAAGGAATTATGCCAGGTGAGATTTTTATTGACTCATTATCATAATTTTTCAGCATACAAAGTATTTAATCAAGTATAATATTTACAATTCTTACATAATGTACATTTTAGAATAACTATAAAGATAATGTACTTGCTCCATTTACAATGACAAACTACGGTAAAACTACGTTCACGAATAGATACAAATTCTCTACATACTAATAAAAAGTAAATGGAGAGTTGGTTATACATTCTTTAAAATATACCTTTTCACAGGTAGCAAGAAATATTACATGTAATAAGTCTTTATGACTGGAATGATCCAGAAATACCACAAAGCACAGGTAAACACATAAAGAAAAGTAGCTCATCATTTCCAAGTTAACCTTTTAAGCCTTTGTGTAAAATAAATGGTGCCAACAATCTTTATGATGTAGCAAGCTTTCCCTGTTTAAAATGAACACCCAAAAGGTGGGGAGGGGTGTGGAGGAAAAACGAGAAAATTTAGAACATAAGATAGTGAAAAGATCAATGCAGAGAAAAGTTTACTTAATCAAACCTTGCTTCCTTCCCCTCATTATCTTATTTTAAGTAGACAAATCTATGTAAACAGAAAAGGATGTCCACAAAACCATATTTATAGATGTCAGGACTCAGCCAAACTAAATCCAAGCCCGTTTTAGTTATCATTCATTTGGAAGCATCAAGAGATTCATAAGTATATGGTGAATTAAAATTACCTTTATAATGTTTTGCTTTCATTAATGTTTGTTATTGCAAAAATGTATAATTTAATGTCTTCAAATCCTAATCTATTCCTTCAAGGTAATTTTATACCCAGGTTCTCCAAAATATTTAGAGTCTTTGTTATCAAAACACAGGGAAAGCTGGCAGTCATTATCAGGTTTTGCTGCTTTACAATGATTTCAAATCATTTCATGATACAAGTAAACTGCCCCTGACCAGCAGTCAGTCAGACAGTGGTTCTCGTTCAGCTCTGCTATCAACTAGCAAACCAGTGACCCCCTCTGTAAAACAAGAGGACCAGCCCAGGATCAAAGAAAGGACAGTGTTGGCGCTCTTAGACTAAGCTCTCAGAAGTTTACTGTGAGAATCAGGGTGATAAAGTAGCGTGTCACAGTGCTGTTTTCTGGAGGGCACCGTGAGCAGCAGAAGAGCACACAAAGGGATCTTGCTACAGTTTCTCCTCGTCTCATCCACTCGTTTGATTTGTGAGGAGCTGTGAATCCAAAAGGAGCAGTAACTACTAGTCAGTGCGTTTTCCACGATATCATGCAGGTCTAAAGTCATTCTGGATATACAATTCTATAAAAATATATCATTTTTCCAGCTCATGTCCATAGTCAAAACTGCTATCAGAGAGGTTAATTTCACAATATGAGTGATATGGGAATGTCTTATTATTCTAAATATAATTAGTCTAAATATAATTTGGTTTATTGTGACCATACATGTGTAAAATCATATTTGTAAAATACTGCTTAACATATCACAAACTTAAGTTTTCCAGACTATGAAAGTATAAGTTTTTTTCCAAAATGCACACATGAAGAACCAAGTACATATTCCAAATTAAATCTATATGTTTTGGAAAGTAAACACCAAAGTTCATTAAAATCCACAGTGAAGACTAGTATAAATTAGGCAAACACTGTAATGTAGTGAATCCCTGGAAATTTCTGAATTTCTAAGGATTGTACCAAAAGTAATTTTTAAAACCTCAGAAATCTTAAACATATAAGTGTTACAACGAAAAAGTGCAAATAACTACTCAATTACTTTTAGTCTAGTTCTAACGTGAAACTGTATTTTATGAACTTCTCATAGCACTGCTATTCTTTGATATTAATCTAACTTTTAAGTCAATGAGCTAATGATACTGAGCTAAAAGAATGATGAAAAGGAATCAGAAACTAAAATCAGCGAATCAGTTAAGGAAAGAAAACAAAGAGCAATCACATCGACTTATGAAGCCCAAGAGTATGATTAACATTGCTTACAATATAATTTCTCATAATGCATTGAATAATTCACAGCATAACAACACTCAGATTTGTTACACACTATAGAAAAGCTATTAGTTGACACAGCTAAATTCTTCTTGGTAAGAGCCAACCTACTTTGTAACTACTTGTACCTATTAATTTACTTTAAAGCCTTGCTGTTTACTGTATCATTTCCACCAAATTTAATGCAAATTGGGTCTCAATATATTCAACAAACCAAGCCACAGAAATGTATTTTTGTATTGCCAGGCTCCCTTTCTGTTAAAGATTTTGCTTTCTCTGAAGATATTCAGGACCATGATCATCTTTAGTGCACTTCAATTACAGACTCTAACCATTACATTTAAGTGGACACTAATGACCGCCACATTACAACTCCTAACTCAAGCTATAGGAGGTAAGAGCGCTATAAAGAATTGCCTTCACAACCAGAGATCTCAGAGGTGAGCTGAAGCACCAACAGTTGGATCCAAAAGAAAAACTGCTTAGGCCTCCTCAGATAAAGGTGAGGAGCTTTAGGAGAGAAGCCTAGAATTAAAACAGGAATAGGCACTACAAAGGAAAAGTGCGGCTTCTCTTTTCTTTTCTTTTTCTTTCTTTCTGTTTATTTGTTCATTTTCGACATATTTTCTTATCCTTGAGCTTTTTGGATAATTAATTTCAAAGTACACTCTAATAAAAATGTTATGAATCAGATTTTTGCAAAGCTGGATGATCTGTGACTCTGAGGTGAAACATGAAAGATTTAATGTTCCTCTTATTATTGTAATTAAAATACAAGGCTTTGGAAGTTAGCATTTTCTTAGAAATAGTTCATAAATATATTTTTATCCTTATCTAATATACAGTGATTATTACTAAATAAGCATTATATGCATGCAATTTGGCCAAACAAATATGGAAGACTTTCTGTGATGTGAATTTATTTCAGTATAATTCCTATTTAGATAGATCTGTTTTGCCATTTAATCAACTTATAAAATTCTAGTTATTGGGGGGTAAATGTTACAAAATTTATTATCTACCCAATTAAATATAATTTCTCCACTTCTTTCATAACTCAAGTTTAAAAATTTCTCTTATTTAGAAACTGAGTATCAATAATATTTACTTACATGTAACTTGTAAAAGATTAAATTTAATTGTTGACTATATTAGAAAGAAACCATAAGGCAAATTACTTATTTTATACTCTAAGAAGATACGTCAATCAAAGATAGAATCAGACTAATTTGTAGCATATACATGTAAATTAGTATATCCATAATATTTTGGAATTCAAGGCTCTATGATTCATGTAACCAAATATTAAAGCTATAGAGATGCTATAATTTAAGACAATGTACACTGTGTATAACAAGTACACAGGACAGATGTTGGAAAAGTTAAAAAGTAATTTACTGCTGTATATTTTAGTATAAATTAAGAAAAACATGAGTTGTTTCCTCCTTTTAGAGAGATTTTTCTCTCAACTAGGAGCAATAGCAAAAAGGTATCCTGAAAAGAACAAATTTCAAATATAAAAATGCTCTACATTATTTTATAAATCAACTTCTCCTTTAAAAGTTACAATCTGATGAAAGCATAATTTTGCAACATTCAAGTAACCTCTGAAACAGAGTTTTATAACATCAATAAATTTGTCAAGGTTTTAGGAAATCAGCCCAACAACGAAGAATTACAACTTCTATAACTGAGATTCTTTTGGTGATTAAAAAAGATTAAGGGTTTCTTTTTGCTTTATAAACTGGAACAAATCTAAAGGACTGAGTTATGTCTACCTATAGAGCCATTATACGCCTGTTAAAGTACTGGCCAATAACCAGACATGTAAGAAGTACAACTGCATTTATGAGCAAATGGGGGAAACATATTCTCTAGTTCTAATAATTAAATTACATACTGTGGGTATGATAGCTAGGCTACCAAGACAGCGAAAAAACTATTTCTGAACCACCAAAATCATTAGGGAAGCTAAAGAAAAGACATATTCTCGAGCAGGCAGGACAGTCAGCTTCCACTTGATGCAGACATGCTAGACTGAACGATCCTGGGACGATGCATGGAAAAACATCAATGCTACTTCACTGGCAATAAAAGAGGTTTTGTCTAAACTCTTAACATCTTGTCACCTAAAAAAATGGCCCTTTAAACAGGCTTTTTTTTTTTTTAATAAAAGAGGTCCTAAGGTAGGTTCCTCTCCCAACTACTACAGATCAATGTTTTAATTTATAAAAATATCAATAAATGGGTACCTTTTTTCTAAACCACTCAATATCTACTAAAATTAAGAAGCAGAATTAAAGCAGTAAAAATTTGTCAATTTTCAGATGTATACATTAGGGGGTCAAAAGATTTAATATTTTCTCCTTATTAAAAAAATTCAGAATTTCTGTGAATCTTGCTGGAAACGATTTAGTTTCTCTGGATTATTGGATGCCATTTGGGAAAAATCACGAAAAATGTCCTGGTAAGTTTCATCACCTGTATGAAAGTAAAATAAGGACATTTAAAAAACTTATACAGTGAAAATATTCATAAACAACATTCATTTTTATAACTGGTAACTATTTTATAATTCCTTACATTAAAATTTTGTTCAGATGAGCATTTTTGGAAGGAAAAAGACCAACTAAATATAAATATTTGGAAAGTATATAGTGAAAGAAAAAAAACTATACCTGAAAAACACCTCAGGTGCAGCCACAGAGGAAAGCTCAGAGTTAGAAAAGAGCAAAGATGCAAGTGTTTTAAAGCAATGTAAAGAAATACATTTATTAACACATGAGAAATAAAAGTCATTCTAAATGAGGTATAGTAAATGAGGCATTCTTTAAATAAATATTTCCCTTGATCAAGGCCAAAACAAAGGACCAAAAATAAATACTAATGTTTCTGATGGATGCAAGTTATTAACAAAGGTAAACTGATAATCAGGCGGGGAAAAAAAACCAATTTTAGTATTATCTTTTAATTAAAAGGCATTTTAATTTAAATAGCATGTAAAAAAGTAATTCTTTACTCAAACTTTAAAACTAAAACTAATGCACCTAATGCACTGCTTACTAAGCTTATAAAGTAATAAAGCCTAGAAGATGACTATAAAATCATAGTTTCACATTTAGTCAGAAGTTTTTTATTTACTGTTGGTCATATGAGCAAGAATGCTATGACAAAAGGGGAATAAATACCAAAGACATCTGCTAAATTAGAGTAATACACATATGTATATATGTACAAATATGCCTGCAGAGAAGTAGATTATAGATATTGATACTATAGCAGATTGAATATGATATTTTTCTTGCCATGAGAAACTAAATATATACACACATACAGATTAATTCCTCATACAAAGGATTTGTACAAAGCAAAATCTTATTTTCAAGATGAATCATTCATCATAAATGCTTCCTGTTAAACATTCGCTTTATATAGAAGCTTGGCATAGTTCTGTTTTCAAGATTTAGACCATCAAATACTATTTTGGATAATTATTGTTGCAACATGGTTCTATAATTATTTCCCCTAACATACCTTGCATCCATCTTATTACAAATTCATTACTACAGTTGTTGTTAATAGTGCAGTAAGTTGTGTCAGCTTTTAAAAAGCGAGATTTCTGAGGCAAGAGATTCATACCAAAAGCTAGAGAATTAGAAAAAAGATGGGGGAGGGAGAAAAAGATCTAGTAAAAAGGTTTAACAGCATAACCCAAGATTTTCAATAAAAAATTTTAATACTTCTACTATTTAATCACTTTTAACATTAGTCTATGTAAAAAGCAAGTTATTAAAATCTCTATATAGTTTTCATTTAGCCCTGGAAATTTTCTCATGACCTGAATCAATCAATCTACTTTAAAAAGAAAAAATACAGTAAGAAGAGAATCTTAACAGGCTGGCTAAGAGTAACATCTAACTCATATTATTGTTACTAATACAATAAAAATAAAGATTGATATGCTGGAACAACTGGTAAGACAATCCAATACACCATGATTTCTTAAAAGTTTACTCCCACATTAAAAGACAAACTACAATCTATTCCCATTTTTAGCCACTCTAAAATATATAAAATAAACTGAGAAGAGACCAACATTAAATATCAATTAACAAATCATACAAAATATTTTAAAATTTTTCTTATTCTTAGATGTTGAATTAAAATATTTAAAATATTTATTGTAAACATTATAAATATTTTTAAAATACTATTTAAACTGGAGAGTGTGGAATTTTACTTTCCAACAAAGTGTAAAGTGCAGATTATAATACAAAAATACCACACTGATTTTACCATTCAACACCAGAAGTAACTTAAAAGGCACACGTTATACATTCAAGAAATAGGAGAAAGGATCTAGCAGACACTAATGCCAAATAGTTTACATATAGCACCAGATGAGCATTAAGTATTACAACAGTACAATGGCAATATATGGCTTCTACTATTAGCAATGCATATTTTTTATAACAAGCCGTGGGATTTTTTTTTTCTTTTTGTGGTTTTCCAGTTTTTGTTTTTAAATCATCTAGTACATACTACACAAGCACATTTTAGTAGAACCATTGTACCATGCAAAACAAATTATAAGATCTTCTATTCACTGAATTAAATGCTTCCTTGAAGCAAGTGTTGGTGCTACACTAAGCATTGGTCTCACTTACTGAATACATTTTAAGTGTTAATACAATACAAAAGGAAGTCTCACCTTCACTCACACACACAAAACTTTTTGTTAACATTCAGTTTCTAACAAAACATTAATTAATGGACTATCAATATAATACCTTTCTTGGGCCCCAAAATGTGTTGTCAAAAAGCAAACATTACAATAAGAACAGTGACTAAGATATTCAATATAGTTAACACAAATTGAACTTCAATGTGATTCTTTAAAATTTAAATATAATTTTGATCATTTAGAATTTTTCCCAAGGCAAATATAACTTGTCTACACTAGAATACATAAACAAGAACCGAGAATATGTTGCCATGAAAAGTTCACAGAAGTACATTTAACAGTTTATTATAAATGGTAAACAACTAATCACCCAATATTGTAATGCTAAGTTATATCCTTTAAATGACTTAATCACATTCTATTTCTCTTCAGAAAGCTAACTCTTCTATGTGCTTGGACAGTTCTGAGTTTTAAAAATGTGGACTGCTGTGTTTCCACTGATACTTTAAAATAGTTTTTGATTTTTGGTATTCAGAATATCCATTTCAACAGTAGTTATGATGATCCAAGATTCTGCTCTTGAAATGTACTCCTCTCAAAGAGATGGCAGCATGTGAGACCCCACCCCCAGGTGATCAAGTGTGATCCTGCCCCTTGTGGGTTGATTACAGCTTCCTCTTTATAACTGACTAATCAGTGACCAACCTTTACCAGCGACACAGTCACATAACCAGCAGTAGTTGACTAAAGCAACGATTTTCAACTGGCTGAGAAACTCTGCCAACAATCAAGAGGAGTCATTGAGCCAGAGACTGTGGGAACCACCAAAATGGTTTCCAATGACTGAGAGCAGGGCATGATAGTTCACTCACCCACCCAGCCTCCTGAGAGCTGCAGAACTGCTCAAGAGGGAGACGTCTTCCCTTCGGGAAACGTGTGCTTTTACATGACCTTGCAAAAAATAGAGTCTCAGGCCCTTAGGACTGTAGATAGAAAATTCAGAAGTGGGGTTTCCTAGAAATAGGTCTATGATTCCCAAAGATAGCATCTAAGTCTTATATGGTGAGCTCTTCATTATCAAAAGATTGAAAATACTTGCATTTAAAATTTACCCAGAATTCTGAAGTTTTTCTTTCCATTGCTAGGCAAAAAAAAAGGGCCTAGATAAAACAATCAACCAAAATCTATGAGAGAAAAATTTACAGTGATAAGTGGAGGGGTAAAATAAAGACCTACTGCCTGAGCAAACACGTCTGCCCTCCAAAGACTCACAGAGGAACAGAAAAGTAGCCAGAGAGCAATTGCAGTGCCATTTCACCACATCACCTGTGTAAGTACAAAAGTGTTCTACTTTAAATATGAGACCATCTAAATGAATTAAAAATCTAATTATTATCAAGATGGTCCTCAAATAGATCAAAATCTCATTTTATTCTGCTGATACACCATTTCCAGAATTCCGATCTAGTTTTTAACTGCTAAATTAAAATCTGAGAGCGGTAAGAAAGCTTGTTTTTTAAAAGGAGGCTTTTTTCAAATTTTCATTCAAATAAATCATAAAAATCTATTTTTCTACTGATGAGTGGAAGGTAAATACTCATAAACTTATACATAAAACGACAGTGAAAGAGACATCTGAATGCCCCTTAAAAGGTGGCAGCAGAAGCCCAAGCAACTTGGGTGGAACTAGAAGCTGCAAGAACATAAGAGGCCCTCTCCTTTCAAGCTTCCCAACTCCAGAGAAAAGTCGACCACTGACCTTCTGACTAATCAGTTGGGTGTAACTTCATCAGCAAACACCTTGAGGAAAGAGCAGCTGACCAAACATTTAAGTATAAAATTTCAGGGGAAAGAAAACTATTTAACTTGAAATCTTGAAGTTCACACTTATCTCACAAATGTCAGGTCATATCCTTTGAGTAATTTTTAAAGTGCTTAAACACAAAGGCCTCAAAAATGGCCTAGTAATACTATCACTTAAGTGTATCTGTTACAAAATTATAACTTATTTAAAATCTAACATTCAAGTTTAAAACATACGGGTGACATTCAGAATTAACTCTGAGACATCACCCTTACTCAGCACTCTCACATCTTGGTCTGTCATGAGCCAGTAGTACTGTCTGATCCATAGGATTAAAATGGGACACCCTAGATTAGAACTATCTAGCAGAAGTGCTTCTATTCTCAAAGTTCGTACTGTTTCCTATTAAATTAGACCAAAAAAAGTAGTAAACGCGGTCCTCTGAGAAAAGAATGGCCCTATATTTATATTAATTATATATTAATCTGGTTAAAATAAAAGTAAATGGCTGAAGTTAGTATAAAGTACAGAAATTTCAAAATATATTAAAACAAAAATAGATGATATTACCAAGCCATTTTTAAAATACTATATTATTTTCATTGGAAAAAAATCAAATATACTGAACATTCTCAATCATTTTAGTCATGAATTTCTAAAATTTTACTAATATGTATATGAATTTAAAACAGATAAATTAGAAATTCATATACTCAAATTAATGAAACTAGAGATCCAATTATTACTCTCTCCTTTGTAAAGAATGTCTAATTAGGATGTGTTCAAACAAAGGAAGCTGATCAGCCACCTTTCTTCATATTTTGACTCAAAGGTAAATATTATTCAAAATGAGACGTGAGCTGATCCTGAGCTGATATTTCTCTAACAAGAACAAGTCTACTTTGCCATCAGGTTTATGAAATATTGTTCTAAATACTTCCATTTATCCAACAGATACTGTCCAATTGCTTAGGGCAAAGCTACAAGAGAAAATGAGACCTTTTCCCTATGCCTTTTAAAGGAATTCTACTTCCATTATAGGCTCTTCTTAACCTACTAGTAAATTTTATTTTTAAACTTTCAACTCATTTTTAGGTCAGAGTATGAAACTCTTAATGCAATAAACTTTTTCTAGGTATTTTCCATACTGACTTTTTATATGCCAACATGTGGTAATTTGTTTTTTCCCTGAACGCAATTTATAGAAATTCCCTGAATAACAAAAAGAAAACAATTTTGTTATATTCACGTGACAGCTAAAGAGAATTCCAAAAAGAAAACAACTATTGTGCTGCTGTAAGTGTATAAAGATACGTTATCATTCCATTCACTTCACTGGAATGTATATGGAAGACATCTGTACAGCAGATAAAGAAGTCAGCAGCCAGAGTTTAAATACAGCAAGTAAATGTGTACTGTAATAGGAATAGTTACGGATTTTTAAAGGCCCAGGAGTTACCACCCCCAGGAATTCAGTAAGCAGTACATACTTAACAACTCACAATTTACAAGTTATAAAACCTCTATAGTAATAAGTCAGTTTGCTAAAGAACTATGAATCTTCCAATTGTAAACTGATAAATTCCTGAATGCATTTCTTATACTGCATTTCGGTATGGTTATTAGTAGAATATTGACCTGGCTGTCCATAAAGTCCTTCTGATTCCCGCATCTCTTCATTCATTCTTGCTAAACGTAACCTAAAATTACAGAAAAGAAGTTTTTAGATGAAGTTATACAATATAAATATTTGCAAACTAATGAATTATATAGGCAGGCAAAACATGCACAGACGTAATTTTTTCTTTTACCAGTATGTGCCACTAAAATAAACAGACTTTCAGTTTGTCAGACCCAGCAATCTGAGATACAAAAATAACTATTTTACTTTATAGAATTCTCATGAGAGAAGACAGTAAAAGATTTCTAACAAGTGCACTACAGCTCTGTTTAAGCAGGATCCTTGCAGCACCTCCAGCACCTTGCTTCCTCCAGACTCGAGAGAACTCCTGGCTTCTACAGCAACCTGTCAAACTTTAACTGCCAACTGCTGAAATTACTGCTTCTATAGTTTGGAAGCAATAGTCTGTCGTAAGTACATTCTGGTTCACCCAGAGATGAGGTAGTTCCAGACACATAAATAGCATGTGTTATCTCTAAATAGTGGGAATATTTTGATATACAAACATTGTAATAAATGACCATAAGTTACTAAGATTTTCCCAAAGTTACCATATTGGTTATACATTCTTATTCGGTTTACTCACCCTGGCAGCAGGAAGACATGTAGCACTGGATTAAGAAGAATTTCCTCCCAGTTTCTTACTAACTTACTACTTTTGAAACAGGCAAATGTTGCCTTTGGTGCCACTCTCCTACTCTGCACTACTTGCCTGTCCTTCAGGCCACCAAATACTCATTGCCTTCCCAGACCTCTATCTCCCTCTTCTAACATGCTCTCTGGCAATTGCAGTGTCTGACATGGGCTTTCCTATCTTCAGTACCACAATCCTCTCCCATCTCCTTTCTCAACCACTGTGTGAATTAATAATAGCACCATAAGTCTCCCTTTGATATTTGAACTTTTCAAAGAAGACATTTATTTTCAACAACGTTTAAGTGAAACTGAAGTCCTCACACAAAGTATAATGAGAAAACTTAGACAATTTGGGAACAGATATTTTTGGGGAAGAGGGGCCACTACTATAAGAACTGCCGGGAGCCCTGCAGAGCCAGGGTTCGCTTCTCTGTGCTATTCATATCTTTTCTTTAATAACTTATCTTTCTCCAACTATAACTCTCTAATAATTTAATAGTTCTAAATTTGCCTACGATAGCCTCCACAATAACAACTCCTCCTCTAGTGGGGAAAGGAAGTTGAGTACAAAGTATGTTTTGCCATTTCGTTGTTTGTTTATTTGGCAGGGGTCAGGGAGGGGTGATACACGGCAAGTCAAGAATTCTCAGCGGGAGCTCAGGAGTTCAAGGCAGTCACAGGACTTTCTCTTTGTAAGTGACTAAGATTCAGTAGTGTGGATGGAACTCTCTCTACTCATATAATAGGGGATCAACAATTCTGGGCTTCATCTAGCCCAGAATAGCATGAATAAGTGACTTCATACAACACATGCTTGAGATCTCCTACATAACAATGAAGTGTAGGTGACAGTCACATTTCTAGATTCCAAGTGTAACAAACAACTCTGATCTAAGATGAAAATCAAATAAGGACTTCAAAATTCTTTAACAGATCATATTAAGTTGTAGTCAAACATTCAAAAACAAGTATTTTTATCTTAAAATAGACTATTCATGTGAATAATTCTTTAAAAAAATAAGCACAAACAGATCCCTAAGTATCACCGCCCAAAGGCAATGCAACTGCAAAAGTTACTATTATCAGTGCAGCTTCCTCCCTACTGATAATCCTCCGATTCTTGACATAGAAGAACAATTGCCTGTTCCAGGACCAGTCCAACCCTCACCCCAGGACTGTACTAACAGTTAAAGAATCCATCTTAGAGAAGTCACTAGTTTTCTGCCCCTACTGGTCAGGCAATATAACAGAAGTGGCTAAGAACACGGGTTTTAGATGCAGAATTCTTGGTTTCAAATTCCAGCTCCAGCACTTACTAGTATCTCAAATTATCTGTGGTTTGGCTTCCTTATAAAATTAGGCTAATAATAATAATACCTTCCTCATAGGGTTATTGTGAGAACCAAATAAGTTCACGTAAATAAAGAGCTTAATACATTTAAAGTGCTTAGAGAAGTACACGGCATATAGCAAACAACCACCCAGGTTTAAAGTTCACACCTATGCATGAAACCCTGTTAAAACCCTGTACAAGTAATATATTGTATGAGAAATAGTCAAGTAAAATGAAAACACTTACAAGGTCACTATATCAGCGTTGGCTGCTTCCACAGCTATACTCAAAGGGTCTTTCCCTTCTTCATCAGTGGCATGTTGATTGGCACCTCGTTTTAGGAATAAACATACTTGCCTATTTAAAGAAACAGCATTTTTGAGATAGTGCCAATAAGAAAAAAATTAGCAGTCACCTTAAAAAATAAAAAGCACTAACCAACTTAAAGAAATAACATTTTCATTAGGAAATTCTTGATTCATTCTATAAGTATTTATTGAACACTGGCTCTCACAATAAAAATTTACCATGATTAGCATTTTACAAATCTCGAGATATTTTCACATGTAACCTGGTATTGTATAGCATAATGGGATTTATACATTATGGTCCTTATCCTCAAAGAATAGCATAAAAAGATGTTCACAGATATCTATAAACTTAAACAAAACAAAAATCACTCAAAGTGATTATTTGGGAAAGAAGGAAGCCAAAGCAATGCTAACATCATAATATATTAATGATAATACAACAGCGAAGAGTGGGAAGGAATCCTCCTGCTGTATTCCACAAATATGCATAACTTGAAGAAATTGACAAAAATAAAAAAAATTGGAAGGATGAGTAAATGAAGACTATGAAGTAAAATGGAAAGAATTATGATTGTTTAAGAAGGAAACAAAGAGGATGAGTTAAATACTATTGTTTGAAGTACAGAAAAGTTTTTATGATGAAGTTATTGAACTGAATCTCTTTGCTGATAGAGGGAAAGAAAACAAGCTATGATCCAAATAAAAGGTGCCATAAATAAACAAAAATGGCAGCTTCTTGCTTGTCAAGGTAATAAAAATTGGATATCCTGAGATGTTTTATTAAAAAACAATCACCTGTGACACAAACTTTTCATATAAGGCTGACATTTTGACTTCATTAACACCCTCTAATAAATAGTCCATTTTCATGGCTTTATTCTGTGAATCTAAATATTACTCCAGAAGCCACAACATCAATAGTACAGACTAAGAATTTACTTAAAACCTTGACTTTAGCTACCCTATGGGAAAACTAAAATGTCCAAAGTTACGAAATTCTCCCAAAATGTGTGTGCCATGTTCATAATGTATGTGTACTTGCACAAAGACATACAAACACAGACTTAAGCTGTCAAACAAAATCACTGTAATTTCAGTACAGTTTGAAATACTAAAGCTGATCTGTAAAAATGACAAGTGAAATTCAAAGTAAACTTTGCAATTTTCTTATCTGAAAAGTAACCATAGCTTTTTTCTGAATGAGATTTTTAAAATTTCAAATTCCATCATGACAATATAAGCCATAGGAAAGCATCACTTTACAAACTCTACCCTAACGGCCTTAATCTGAGCAGAAGCAAAAGTTTATTTCAAAATAAGTTTTCAAGTGAAATCTAGTTAAATGTGTAAGCACTATAGTTTACCCCGTGTGCCCTAAGACGGTGGCATGGTGCAGTGGTCCCCGCCCTTGTACATCTCTTTGGTTCACATTAGCACCATTCTGCAGAAGAAACTCGCACGTCACCAATGAGCCCTTAAAGGAGAAAGGCGATAACGTACAAAAAGCAATCAATGATATATTTCTATTAAAAACAGAATATTTACTTCATTCTAATAGCCTTTCTATTCCATTCTCCCGAAAAGAAAAAATATCACCCAGTAACAGCAGAGAAATGATATATTATTTTCTTCCCAAGAACTACGTCTAATAGGGATTTAATATGCAGTTTGTGATCTAGCAAAACACACTACTTTCATTACCAGAATTCTCTTCCATTAAGAAAAAGAAAAAGGAGCCTACATAATCAAAGCAAAGCTTAGAAATCACTACTAGCTGTCTCTATTTTTCAACCCATCTCTTAAAGCAAAGAATGATGCTAAGGCTATGTTTAAAATGAATTATGATTTCTTATGTTTCACTACCACTGAAAATCTCAATGTACAAATTCATACCCCTAATACAGCCTGAATAAGTGGTGTTGCTTTGTTTTCCTCTGAATTAGCCCAGTTCACATCTGCACCATGAGCCAAAGCCTCAGCCATTTTAGGAAGATTTTTTTCATACGAAGCCCTATAAAGCTGGAGTCCTGGATTAAGATGTTTGGAGTCAAGAAACACAGATGAATCCTGCCTTTCTCCCTCTGAAAAGCAAACACAAACACATCAATAAAAATGAGCTCTTGGCAAGGAGGAGGAGAATGGGAAGTTACTGTTTCATAGGTACAGAGTTTGAGTTTTGTAAGATGAAAAGAGTTCCATGGATGGATAGTCCTGTGGCAGCACAATGTGAACACACTTACTGTCACTAAACTGTACACTTAAAAATGGTTAGGATGGTAAATTTCATGTTATGTGTATCTTACCACAATTTTTTAAAAAACAAACCCTTAATTGTGTCACAAAGTAAAAGTTGTAACATAAGAAAGCACTAATTTAACAAAATGAGCTAATGGGAGATTTTCACAAAGACATTTTATTTCCAATAAACTAATCACTCCCCAGTCACCTTTCTTTTCTTATGAAGACACTGATTGGTATGCCAGGACTTTGTGGTTTTGCCAGTATTCAAGGGCTAGGTTAATTACCCTGTACTAGATTAAAATTAGGTATATTCCTATAAGCCTGAACTTAAGGACTCAGAAGAGGCAGTAAGAATTCCTAAGGAATTTTACTAATAGACCAAACTTCACTTTATTCCTAGGATGGTCCAATACCATCACAACTTGCAGTACAAGCAATTCAAATAGTTAGAAGAATGCTTACTACCCTGAGTGTTCTGGAAGACCAAAATCACTGAAATCATAAAAGAGAGAATGGAGTAAAGCATAGGTCAGAAGAAAAACCTAAGGGGGAGGGAGTTGCTGATTTCTTTCTCTTGATAAGAAAAGACAGCCACAAGAAAAGATAAAGAGTAATAAGACATAAAGTTCATGTGGATTAAAAATTATCCTTAGCTATTAACAAGGCACTTTTAAAACAAATCATGAAGTTTAGGAGAATGTACAGGTTGGAGAAAGCTTCCACATATGAAAAGAAATAGCTGCTTTCTCATTTGACTATATTACTCCTCCCTTAGTACCTTCTAAAAGACTAACCACTTCCTTTAGAAACCATCTAATCAAGACTAAGCATTTACCACATGCATTTTTCAGCCAACAATACCAATTAACAATGTATTTCACCAAAACTCACCAGGCTCATATAAACTATTGGCTGACACTGTAGAGGGTAAAGATTCTCTTCCATCATCAGAGCTCTGCTGGATTCCACTGTCATTACTTTTAACTGTTTTAAAGAAAAATCAGCTAGTGATTAAAGTTTGAGCCATTAAGAAAACAATCTGCCACAAACAACGAGGTTTTAAAATGAGCTCTGATACACCAATGTGAACTCAACCACCACCAGGAGAATACATTTAACACAACTTTAATCCTTTCGAATGCTTAGCTTATCAAAATATGAATCAATCACAAAGCTTGAAAATAAACTTATCTTCAGAGTCATAACACATCTCACTACCCCGTATGCCAGGGACAGTAAGAGCTTAGTTTATTGTACGACTATAAGTAATGTGTAATTCTGAGACAATGGGTAACATCTAGAGAAATGGCCACACCGCACAATGACCACTGGCACAGACTTGGAATGCTCCACAAGAGTAGTACTTACTACTACGTAGTTTTGAAGAAGTATCAAAGTAGGAGAAGAGTGAATCTAGCTCATCAGGACAGAACAGAGACTCCCGCCTGGCCTCGTCGCTATTTACAGCAACCACTGGGGACATGCAAGTTAGCAAAGCACAAAGCAGGCCGTAAGAAGGGAAAAGGGCAGGAAAAAACGTTACTGGGAAAAATTTAGGAGGAAAAAAATAGGAAGGATATTAAGTGGTTAATCAGATATTTAGGGCTTTTTACTATGATAGATTTATAATCCCATCTCCCCTCGCATTTTAAGCAGTTTTACTCCTTAGAACATACACATTACCTAGAAATGTGAATTACCAAGACACTACAGTCATGGGCTGCCTAACAACCTTTCAGTCAATGACAGACTGCGTATACGACAGCGGTCCCATAAGATGAGTACCACATAGCCTAGCTGGGTAGTAGGCTTACTCTCCAGGGTTGTGTAAGTGCACTCTGTGACGTTCGTGCAACAACGGAATCACCTCAGGACGCACTTCTCAGAACGTATCCCTGTCGTTAAGCAGCGCGTGACTGTATTTAAATTTAATTGCTTTAAGACACAACGTTTTCTTAGAATATGTAGAAGTAAACAGATTTTTAGTATTTAAAAAATCTACAATAGCTACTAATTCAGAGATTAAGAAAGAGACTTCAGCTTAAGATTTATCTGCACAACAGGTAAGCTGTAATACCTGAACTTTGGAGAGATGCTCTGAGTTGGTCACCTGGCCCAAGTTTAGAAATGCTCAGCCTCTTTTCTTCACAACTTTTGGAGATAATCTTTTTTTCCTGCTCAGGAGGTGATGATGACATAGAATATTTATCCACAAATTTCCTCTCCACATATTTTGCTCTGATATATGCCTCTTTCTCCTGTCTGGTATACATAAAAATGTCATGATGTTCTGCTTAATCTCTTAGCATGGCTACTACTGAAAAGAAGCCAGTGTATACTGACTATTTCAAATAAAGTCACTAAATGTAATTCTAGTTAAAACTGAATTTGTGACAGTGTGCAACATATTTTCCTTCCAAATATTTAATGCACTATGATTTCATGTCCAAATAAAATACAAATAATTAACTGAAAAAAAATCACAAGTATTAACAAGGCACTCTCGTATTCTCTTAATTTCTGTGTTCATTCACTTCTATCTATATATTCCCTTGTGCTTTTCTAGAGAATGAAAAACATTACCAAAAAACTATAGAAATTTATAGAAATTAATTAAATTTAATCTTTACTCCAATAAATAATGACACGTATTAACTATCACTATTGATGGTCACAATTTTTCATAAGACAACTACTTTAAAACAATATAGCATTCCTAACTTAAGGGGGAAAAAAGATGTCACATTTTAAACTTTTGATTTATGATACAATCATAAAAAGCTACATCTGTTTTATACCTTTCCTTTCTTATATATTGTTAAAATGCTTAGGTCTTTGACTAAAACAGGATATTTCAAGGTCTGAAATACCTCAAACAGCCATGCTTTAGCAAATAAATAATCGGATTTAAGTGATACCAGTTTAGAGAGCAATAATTTTAAAATAGTATTGATTATACATAAAGATTTAGTCAAACATAAAATCTCAACATAAGATTACGGCAAATAAAATTTTAATGCTAAAAACAAAGAATCATAAAGACTAAAAACAATATCAACAACAAAAGCGCATGTACCCTGAAAGCACTCTTAGCCACTTGGTTCAATGAGCCTCCATATGTAGAAATGGAAGTATAATTTCAAACACAGCAATTAAGTATTATCTGCAAAAAGAAGCTACCCTTTTCACCTTTAATTCAACATCATAATGCCATGTATGAAGTATGTGATTAACAAATATTTGCTGAACTAAGTCAAAGAATGTAAAATTATTCATTGTAGGTAGTAGAAACTTGATCCTTAGACACATTAATGAACAGATTCCCTTTTAAAAGGCCTGCCACTAACATAACTTTGGTCTACTTTAACTGCTAAGCGCTTTCATATTCATATGTAGCCTTAATTTTTAAGATTCTCTTTCATCTGGAGACTATAATTGATTATCTGATCAATAAAACATAATTATCTAATTAACATACCCAAGAAAGAGACAGCCACACTTAAACAGTAATGATCTCTTCTAAACAGTCTATCTCAATATTACATATTACTTACAGTAAAATAAAATCATAGCTATATTCCTGATTAGGAGAAAAAAAAAGGTAACACATGAAGACAGGTGAAATAGTACCTTTGTCCTGGTTGTGGTTTCTTTATTCCCATTTTTTCCACTTTAGCTTCATAAACTCGATTTATAACATCATTCCCCAACTCACACATAAGCTGTTTGGCAGGAAAATAGAAAAACAAGCGATAAATTCCTTAAAATACTAAAAAAGTCATTAAAGCAAGTTTCTCGTTAATGCGTCCGGTCAATTCTGACTCCTAGCAACCCTGTGTACCGCAGAGCAGAACTCTGCTGGTCTTTTTTGCACCATCTTCTCATCTTCCGGTGCTGTATCAGACAATGCTCTGCTGCTATTCATAGGGTTTTCATGGCCAATTTTTCAGAAGTGTGCAGCCAGGTCGTTATTCTTAGTCTGCCTTAGTCTGGAAGCTCCAGTGAAACCTGTCCACCATGGGTGGCCCTGCTGGTATTTGAAATACCAGTGGGATAGCTTTCAGTGTCACAGCAACATGCAGCTGTCATAGTAGGATGGGTGGTGTGGTTCTCTGACTGGGAAACAAACCTAGGCAATAGCAGCGAGAGAGCCAGCTCTTCACCACTAGACCACCAGAGCTGGCCATTAAAGGAAGTACAGCTAATTAATTCCTTTGTATATTCTGTAACTGCTCATTCTACAAAGTTTAAAGTTAAAACAAAATGAGACAAGGACTGAGAGCAGTATCACCATTCTGCCGTTCTTCACCAGAATACCTCCTCTAGAAGTTTACCACTCCTACAAGAAAGGGTTTCTCCTCACCCATCTTTTGCTAGTTTTCTATCCCTCCGCTATGACTAGCACAATACTGCATATCATTCACAATGTCTGAGAAATTAACTGACAAAAGAAGCCTATGGCAAGACAGGTGAAATTTTAAACAACTCAGAATTGAAGTAAACTATTTTCTCCTTACAGTTTATACAAAAGTATTTCAAAACATAGTGTTTAAAAGTTTTGGTCTTTGTTGTTTTTTGCTGAGGAAGATTCGCCCTGAGCTAACATCCATGCCAATTTTCCTCTATCTTTTTTAGTATGTGGGCGACCAGCACAGCATGGCCACTAAGAGAGGAGTATAAGTCCACGCCCAGGAACTGTACCTAGGCTGCCAAAGTGGAGCACACTGAACTTAACCACTAGGCCACTGGGGCTGGCCCCTTGGTCATTTTTTTAAATGTATCAGACACTTGTGTTTCAACCAAATTTCCTAAATTGAATCCACTGAGTTCACATCTACACATAAAGTTGATGCAGATATTAGATTTCTACCTCTTAATCCTCCACTTTCTTCTCCTTTGAATTCATAACAATTAATAGAATTTATCTAAATAGGGCTCTACCTTACGAGCCAATTTATCACTTTCATTAGGTGTTTACACAATAATTACACACAGCAAATTTTTCAGTTTACACAACAGACAGGATTACCAGCTTATCTATGGCTTGAAATAAAAACACAAGCACATTAAGAACACAATTTTCAGAAAGAAACAAATGGAGAGTATACTACAACCTTTAAACTGAAGTATTTTTTTTACAATATGGTAAACTAAGTGGTGGGAATTAAAAGAAATACACTATTAACTGATACCAGTTTTGTAAATCTTATTAGAAATCCAGTTGTGATCTAAAATTATTTATGACATTTTCACAGACATGAATCCTTACACAGGGAGAAGGGATGTCTTGGTTTGATGACTACTACCCTGACAAATATAAATTTGCAAATGGTCCTATGCTAAAATAACGCAATGATAACAACATGCTATACCAATCCATTATGGAGCTTACTATAGCACTATATCTCATGTTTTTAACAAGAATTTATATAATTATGAAAGATTAAAATTAAGGCACAGAATCTAAGATATTTTTTGAGAAAACATAAAAATATAGGAACCCTGGTTTCCTAAAAAGTGAACTGACTTGGAGCTAAGAGTTTTATATAACTTAGCAATTTTTAAAATCCAATATGAAAACACCAGATTTGCCAAAATACCTTCAGATGTGTTCCAACACAAATTAGTTCATTGTTAACATTGAGAAACTCATATATTTGTAAACTAAGATTCTAAAATTCTGACTTTTTATGTGAAAATATGACATGTTCTTAAGCAAATATTTATTTTACCTTTAAAAGTTCAGGTTCCCAGGTGTCTAAAGTTAAAGAACGTACTTTTGAAAAATGAACTCCAAGACTCCTAAGTGGAGGAAAAAAAGACTATTAATATATGAAACTATCAAGTCTCTACTCTATTTGCAGATTATGCAAATTATTTTTCTCTTTTAATGTGACATAGTCTCCAATATAGCCCTCAACACGTGTATAAGCAGGGATAGATCTTCTGGTTTATAATGAATGGTGAACCAAAGTCCTCAAAAGATTTCACAAACCAAAATTTTAACCACTTTACAAAAATAACAAAGAGATACAAACTGGCAGTCAAACTGGGCAATTGAAAGGGGCTCTCTAACCAACAGGACATGATAATTTATAATGCGTGTTTATCCGAAAGAAGTCTCCAACACTGGGATGGCCTACCCACCGGTGAATCCCAGAACACTCGATACACAGGGTGATGCCCAGGTTGATGCTGGCCCACCGCGGGTCTGCCAGACCACAGTCACAGCAGCTGGCATTGCCAGGGATGCACTGGACTCGCTGCAGCGCACTTTCTCCTTTCAGCAATTTGTCTTTTGACTCATTTGCAGAATCCAGGCTTCCTGTGGATGGAGATGATTTCTTATCCAGCTTCTAAAAGAATTAAGAATTACTTGTTTAAAAAAAAAAAAAAAAAAAGATTGTAATACTATACTGCACACTACATGCTCCTAACAAAAGCTTTTCCAATCAATAAATTGAAGGCCTATAATGGGCCTAAGCTGGGCACTGTTCTAGGCATTAGAGATTCAAGGATAAAAAGATACAGGTTCCTCCATCAATTGGCTTTTAGCCTCGTGGGGAGAAACATACAAACATTGAAAATTACATGTGTGTATACATACAGAAAAAATAACTGACACAATGAACATATGTACAAGATAGGAGGGCAAAAAGAAAGGGGAATACTAATTAAACATGCATGGTGAGAGATGGAGGGAGTAAACACTAGATTATTGAAACTCAAGAATAAAATAAATATTTTATACCAAGTTTTTCCAAAGTATTCAATGAACTGCAAACAAGCTGTTTCAATTAGTGCAGTGAAAACCTGGAAACAGTATTGCCTTTTACTAAAGAACAGATTGATTACATAATTATAATTATGCAGCATATCAACAATAGAATACACAATGTCTAAAAATCTCATGGGCTATTAGGGAACCAGGAGAAAAGCAAAAGGTGGTGGATAAGTAAAAAGCTAATTTTTTAAGTGCACAGCAAAGTCCATACCAATAATGACCAAACACAAAGATACAGTTTGGGGATCCTAAGCAATTAAAAACATGTTCTAGGGCCAGCCCTGGTGGCCTTGTGGTTAAGTTTGACGTGCTCCACTTCAACGGCCTGGGTTTGGTTCCTGGGCACAGATCTAGACCACTTGTCTATCAGTGGCCATGCTGTGACGGGAGCTCCCATATAAAATGGAGGAAGACTGGCAACAGATGTTAGCTCAGGGCAAATCTTCCTCAGCAAAAACAAACAAACAAACAAAACATGACCTAAAAAGTCTTCTGGTTTAAAAACATTTCAACCTTAACAAGCCAGTATTTTAGTATAGAGTCATTAGAAATATAATTTGGCCTTTGCCTTGTCCTTCCTGAAAATTCAATTCAATAGCCATTAGGTGGGGCCAAGCAAAGAAAGTGTGGGGAGACGGCATTCCAGAGATCATTGAGCTAGGTGAGGAGCATATCCCCAAACGAGAGCAACCCCATACAGGTTGCTGGATCCAAGCAGGATAAGGAGGGTATCTGCACAGGGAGATGGCCCAGCAAGGAAAGTGAGAACCTGAGGAGGAGAGGAATGTGGAGTGGGAGTGCCACAACTGGGAGGTGTCAGAGTCTGAGTCAGGTGAGGGAGCAAGTGGCAGCAGAGAAAGGATACTGGTTACATACAGGGGATACTGATCATATAAATAAACATGTTAAAAATAAATGGGAGCCAGATTTGTCTCTGCAAAGAAAGGAGTTATTTATATGGAAAGGGAGAGAATTAGAACAAACTCTGTTGTATTAGATTAGAACTGGAGATACCAATACACATACTAATGGTTTTCAATATAAATAGATATATAAAGAAATATAGATGTAAAGGTATATATGTGTATATGCATACATATATTCCTTTATCTTGGTTTCTAAAAACATTCCCCACCAAAAGGGACTAGAGCTCTTCGGAGAAACTGCTGATTTCAGAGCTAGTACAAAGAAAGTACAAGAAGATGAACCCGGAACACCTCATCATGCCTAGAAATTAAGAACTGAAAGATTAATGAGAGCATGTCAAAAGGATATAGAAGCCAAAACTCCACTGGCCAAACTTAGGTCAATCTAAGCAACAAAATAAATAACAATAGTAATGGATTATAACACACTGAACAAAATAGGGGCCTATCCTAACACAATTACATTAAAAAAATGTAAAGCTTGATGGGGAACAGATTATTTACATAGTCTCAAAGTATCTCTCCCACAAAATACTTATTACCTAGCAAAGTAACTTTACAGCAGAGAAGTCTAGCAGACACTACCTTAATCAAGTGATCAATGTTAACATCACCAATAATGGGAGAAATCAACATCAAGTGCCACTGAGAGGATGCAGTGAGAAGAACACAGCATCATTTATATATATTCCTGCCAAAGATGCATAACTTTGTGACTAAACATCAGACAAACCCACATTGAGGGACATTCTACAAAATAACTAGTCTATAATCTTCAAAGTTATCAAGGTCAAGAAGGTCAAGGTAAGACTAAGGAAGTATTCCTGACTGAAAGAAACTGAAGAGTCATGACAGCTAAGCGCTACCTGTGCTTCTGGACTGGATTGTTTGCTGTAAAGAACATTACTGTGGCCGGCCCCTGGCTGAGTGGTTAAGTTCGCACGCTCCAATTCGGCGGCCCGGAGTTTCGCCAGTTCAAATCCTGGGTGTGGACATGGCACCGCTCATCAAGCCATGCTGAGGCAGCATCCCACATGCCACAACTGGAAGTGACCCACAACTAAAAGTACATAACTATGTACCAGGGGGTTTTGGGGGGAAAAAGGAAAAATAATTTTAAAAAAATATTTAAAAAAAAAAAAAGAAAATTACTGGGACAAATGTTAAAACTTGATCTTTGGGAATTAAATGATAGCAATGTTTCAGTGCTCATTCTTGATTCTGATGGCTACAGCATGATTATATAGGAGCATGTCCTAGGTTGTAGGAAGTACTCACTAAAGTAGCAGTGCCAAAAGCATCATTGACATAGACATCCCCTAGCTTGGAAAGTGAAGCTCGGAAGGTTTCTATTTTGGCTGGCTCAGCTTTAACCTTGTTCCCAGAAGCATCTTTGCCCTTCCCTTCTTCCTCCACATGAAAGCGAAGGTTCTCCAGCAGGATGACAGACCCTGCAGCTGGGTCAGCACAAGCTTTCTCCACTTCTGGGCCCACGTAGTTCTTCAAGAACAAAACATCCTTGCCCAGCAGAGACTTGAGTTCAACAGCAGCTGGCTGCAAGGAATATTTGTCAGGCATGGGGACACCATCAGGCCAGCCCAGGTGGCTCATAAGAACAACTGACTTGGCTCCATTGTCCAAGCAGAATTTGATGCTTGGGACAGCAGCCTTGATCCTCTGGTTGTTCGTTATCTGGTTGTTCTTCATAGGAACGTTGAAGTCCACTCTCATGACGACCGCTTCCCCTTCACGTTCAGCTTGTCCAGCGTCAGCTTGTTTGAAAGCGACATCTTGGCAACACGGCGGCGGAAAAAGGCTGTGGGCTCAGAGAGCTGCGGACTAGGTTGCCGACTCGTGCTGGGGACATGTGCGGAACCTTTTTTTTTTCTTTTTAAAGATTTGATTTTTTTTTCCTTTTTCTCCCCAAAGCCCCCCAGTACATAGTTGTATATTCTTTGTTGTGGGTCCTTCTAGTTGTGGCATGAGGGACGCTGCCTCAGCGTGGTTTGATGAGTAGTGCCATGTCCGCGCCCAGGATTCGAACCAATGAAACACTGGGCCGCCTGTAGTGGAGCGCGCGAACTTAACCACTCGGCCACGGGGCCAGCCCCCTTTTTTTTTTTCCCAAAGATTTTATTTTGCTGTTAAAATTCTTAAGAATTCTTATTTCCAAACTAAAAATTCCACACCCAACCAAACTATCAAACAAATGTGAGAATGAAATAAAGACATTTTTAGACATGCAGGGACTCACAAAAGCCTCATTTTCAGGAAGCCACTGAAGCAAGTGGTGAGTTCCATTTCTCAAGACTTACTCATGGCCTTGCTCAAAAGAGTTTGTAAATTCATTGGGAAGAAGCTGAAGGCAGACTATGCCCTAAGACTCCATATCCAGCTTTCCTTCTCCAGGGAGACTTCAACTAAGAGACAATTTGAACTTTCCCCTTTTGCTTCTTACCTAGTTTTAATTTTAAATACCCTTCACGTTCATTATTTTATTAATTAAAATATTGTTTTATTATTTGTTAAAATATTATTTATTAATTAAAATAATAAAATATTGTGGGGAAAAATACATCAGAATACCTGTCAATTTTGGACATATATTCAAATATTGAATTAAAATGATAGGTAAAGTCAAGAGAAATAAACAAAAGAGAAATTGAATCTAGATTTTACATATAAAACCCATTTCAATTACAAAAATCATCCTCCATAAAAAAGAATGTCATGGGTTAAGGTGGTCAAAAGGTACGAACTCCCAGTCATAAAATAAATAGGTCATGAGGATGTAAAGTACAGCATGATGACTATAGTTATTAATACTGTATGGCATATTTGAAAGGTGCTATGAGAGTAAATCTTAAAAGGTCTCAATACAAGAAAAAAAGCTTTTGTAACTATGTACAGTGATAGATGGTAACTAGACTTATTGTGGTGATCATTGCATAGTGTATACAAATATCAAATTATTACGTAGTACCCCTGAAACTAATATAAGGTTATATGTCAATTCTCAATATCTCAATAAAAAAAGAATGTTATAATCATACAATGTTGCAACTAAAGTTAAAAACTTTGGCAATATATCATCTGGTATTGCAGTATTGTTTACTAACCTCTGATTCATCACCCTTCTCTCTATAAGCAGTAGCGATACTGGTCTGAACAGCTTTAATCCATGCCTGGCGCAGCTTTTCAGAATCCGCCTGAAGCATACAGCTTCTAAAATGAAATGACGTCGTTTTTTCAGATACAAAATTAACCCCCCAAAAAATAAGGTTTACTTTTTTTGCCCATTTTGCTATTTAATAATTTTCTAACAATAATTTCTGTTGAAAGGTTTTATTTCACCTATCTTCACGACAGAGTATGTTCAAAAAGCAATCAAGGTACCAATGAAATAAGTTACCTATTGAAAACAAACTTTAAATTTACCATAGAAACATACTACCACTACTAATTTTTTCTATTGGGTAGAAATATGAAATGATAGTTATCAGAGAAATTGATCTAATGTATGACTTCAGTTCATCATCATGAAAGCTAAAAAGTTTTCATATGGCCACATCAATAATCTTTATGGAATATAAAGAACATGATACCGGGCAGAAATTACATAAATATCTGACTGTAATACCTATAATCATTAGTGAAATTTCCTTTTAAAATACTTTTTTCCTCTTTAGCACAGATATTCACTAGTGAAACACAAATCTTTCTCTATTCTGGAAAGTTCTTTAAGACAAACTATAGAAACATAAAGCAACTTCCAAATTCTCTAGAACCACTCACTTTGTTGGAGAGACCACCTCAAAGCAGAATCGTCGTTCTATGTCTTCACAATGCTTCACTGTGCAGAGCCGGAGATCTTCCACTACCACAGTGGGGTTATCCTACATTAACGAAACAAAACTCCCATGTTTTCAACCTAGGTTTTAAATCCTACTACCAACAATGACATACTTAGAAATATTACTTGGAATAAATGGTCCGATTTTAAAGATTTATATTTTATCTTATTTTAAATTAGAGATAGAAGTTATCAACATAGATAGAACTAATAAAAGTAATTCTGTCCTGTTAATAATTTTACCTGCCTCATAAAACTGCTGTATAAGGATTAAATGAAATAGCTTATATAAAAGAGCTTAATTAATTTACAGTTGAATATATCATTTACAAAGGCTAACTAGGTAAAAATCAAGTCATCAATTAACTAGTGGTTCTTTGTTTCTATTTTTAATATTCTCAAGTCACACGTAATCTCAGTATGACTTTTAAACAAATAAAAATTCCTCACCCTTAGTTCAGAAAAACAAATACATAAAAACAATATTAACAAATTTAGAGGTTGCTATCTAAATTACCTCAAGCTTACTAAATTTAACGGCATTTTTAACCTTTCTATATTATCACCTTTGGCCCTAAGGTGATATTTCTTAAAAGACATCTTTTCCTTCAGCCTCAAAATAGTACTACGGAGTGGTAGTGTTATTCCTGTCACACAGCTGAACAAAGAAATATATGAAGAAATAAAAATAATAATTCTGGGACACAGAAAAGTCTATTTCAAAGTTGTGAATTATGAATTCAGGACTCATAATCACTCTGCTTTTAAGGATGGCATGCTGATGCTTTCCACTTTTGAGTCTTCTTTAACACGTCCAAAGATAAAACTAATATGCAAATAATAACTTTGCACACGAGCATTTATGAACTTCAACGCTTTATCAAGACAAGGAGATAAAGAACTGAAACTGGGCACTCACTGGGCTTTCACTTCATTACCTAATAAGACACCTACCTTGAACTTTTTCTGGTAAACCAACTGATTGTTCTGTATTGAAAACCAGCGTCTAAATAAATACAAAATAGATTAAGTTTTCACAAACATAATTTATTTCAGTTGTTGTTAGAAATGAAATATTTGGGAAAGCACTAGAAAGTCAGTTTATGGTAATTATGTTTTGAGAAGTGTATTGTTTTCTTTTGCTTTATATACACTGATGTCAATGAGATAACTACTGAAAGTAAACAACAATTTTAAAACCACAGATTAGGAAAATAAAATTACTATATTGTGATTCATTTTATGTCAGAAATTTAAATGCTAACAAAAGCTGTTATCCTTTATGCTATCACCAAATAACTGTTTTAAAGTAAAAACTTAGTTTTCTGAAGTTCCTCAAAAATAATTAAAATCCTTCCCCTCAAACAATTGCTTTTATTATAAAGTACGAATAAATTTATACTGTAAATAAGACTATCCATCTGCATACAGTAAGACATTGAAATAAATGGTGCTTTGTTTTTAACCTTTCTGTAGCTAATTCAGCAAGCATTTGATTTGTTAAGCAAAACGTGAAATTAAATCATCATTTTAGAACTGATATCAAACAGGAGATAATCGCCAATTTACTTTGCCTTACTTTCATATAAACTACTTCAAAGCAGAATAATCAAAGTTAACTAAAAATGCTTCACCCAACTATTTATATTTTTCTGCTCTTTATTGTAAATTATCATGCAAACAATTTACTGCAATCTTCTTTGGAAGAAAAAGCTACACTAGGTATGACATATTTACTAATTCTAATTTATTAAAACAGTAAAAGGACCTAAAGACTTACAAAAAAAATTTACAGCCAAAAGCCATTCATAAAAGGAAGCAAAAATTCTCATCAAGCATGAAAGGTAAAACAATATTTGAGTCATTATTTTAAAATTAGTTTCATGAGATGATTCCTATTGTAAACATTAGTTATTAATCTATTAGCAGATAGAGATTCTACCTTTTCACTGATACTAATACAAAGCACTAGAAATTGTATTTAGACATATTTAGAATTTCTATTTTAAACAGTTAAGTTAATTCTCCAAAGCTGAGAAAATAATTACATGCTTTCCTATTTTTAAGCTAGACAGATTGTTAGGTTTTCTTGCTACTTAAAAAAGTATCATCTTTACCATTAAAATAGAGATTTGTTAAATAAGCATCTAGATAAAACCAAGTGAGTTGCCTCTAAACGCAAATCATCAAGAGGCGGGCTAGAAAAGGAAGAACTTCCGGGTTTCTTTGCTTTGGGACACATAGTTGGTTAGAAGTGTTAAAGGAAATGCCTACAAACACACAAAATGGTGCAGCCCTGCCACATGGGATGACACGCAATGGAAACAATCTCTGGTATTGATTACAAAGTGGTTTTTTTTAAAAAATCACTTTAAGTAAGGTGAACTATATTAATAAAAATCCTTATGTTTTATAGTAATCATTTCATATAATTTGATGAAAAACTACGAAGAGTTTTATCGCACAAATGAGAAACACCCATAAAACCATGTGAACTTTTCATGCTTCTGAGGTTTTCAAAAAATAAATTTCTTTTGACCTGCAGCATCTTAGGCTAATAGCCTCTAAAAATAATAATAAAATACTAGATAAAAACTTATGTCTTTTGTCAGAGACCACTTCCTCTGATTATTAACTTTACAGATCATATACATTTTTGAAAGCTACTTTCCCTGCCATCGAACAGCTTTTGGCTGACTTTCTCACATCAGCAGTTTTTGAACACTCAGGAAAGATACTATAAATTCATCTTAATTTGACAATGCCTCCTAAGGAAAAAAATCATGATGTATGCTAGGTAGAAAAAAATTTTCAATTTCAATTACTAAGATCTGTATGTCTTATGACATTATTTCCCCTCCTCTGCCATTAAAAAAAAAACAAACTATACTCATTTACATTGATCAAGACTTTAATAGCTAAGTAAAAAGGATTATAATTTTTAATTGCTTCTGTAGATAACCCTAGTGATTATCAGCAACATTTCTAATAAAAGAAAAAATGAGATAGTTCATAGACCATGGAAAACAGAAAAAGTACTTAAGAATTTAAGCTCATGCCATGTACAATTTGAAGATACTTAAAAGGACAATTAAATAGCAAAAAAGACAAACTTTGGAAAGCATTGTGCTGACAACTACACTATATTCTACAAGATTCAGAAACTGACCACGAAGCCAAAAAATAAGACAGTTTTTTAAAAAGGAAATTTCTTGGTTCATTAAGAAAAATAAAACACCCACTCCACACCACAGTATATCTATCTCACATTGAAATAACTCAATAAAATAATATTTTAGACCAAAATATTAAATTCATAAACAAATATTATTAATTTTAAAAGTCTAACAAGAGTTTCCAGATGGCAAAATTTGGGGGAGGGAGGGAAAAAATATATAAAAAATAAATCAGGTATCTTTTACCACATTTGACCACCAGTCCCAGAACTGTACTTGGTATCAAGAATATGGGTAAAAGTCAAACTTCTAAATATGTAGAAGTTTTATCAATAAAACTGTACAGATGATGGATTTGTGCACACATTCATATAGGTGCCAAATAGGTAAACATTTAACAAAACTAAAAGCTTGAACATGTATGCTCCTTTATCTCAATTTGAATTTACTTTTTCACAGGGAAAAAGACCAACACAGTAAACAAACAAAAAAAATCTAGGAACTGACAATGTTTCCTTACAACATAAGTAATATGGTTATTCTCAAAGGGATTATTTCCTAGTTACTGTTTAAAATTTTTCAAGAAACTTTACTAGCTTATGACCCTTAAAAAAAAAAAGATATAAAGGTATTCAAATTACTCAATCTATATCTTCTTCTGGTAGCTATAAACACATCAAACGTTCTTTTCCAGATTAAAACAAATTGAGGAGATGGGCAATGAAAAGCTATAACTCCATTTCTCAAATATGTTTCTGTTTTCTTCCCAATTTAAAACATAAGAGATTTTATATCCATTGCAAGTAATCCAACAGAAATGCAGGTTAATTATGAGCTTTCTCGTGCCAAAGAGGAAAGTGGAGTAAGGTAAGGGTGAGGGGAAGGAAGCCATTTGGTACCTGATATGATCGGGCTTTTTCCTGTCATGTGAAAAAATGGGGCAGGATTAAAACATAAGGGAAAGGTGGTAAAAGAATGAAAACGCAAATGTGCAAAATAAGCAAAGGACTAGCATGATACGAAAATAAAGCAAGAATTAAAGGAATAAGCTTAAGCTCATAACCTAATAAAATAGTCAAAAATATCTTGCATTTTGTTCACATTTTATACATATATGCATTTATACAATTAATTCCAACTGCTAGGAATCTGCATCACTAATATTTCAGCATATTCAAACATTTTCTTCAAGTGTTATAGTACAGAAAGTTCTGGTAGGACTTAGCACACTTGGGCATACTTCTACTATTATTTTCTGACTCTATCATCACAGCTATGAAATATAGATACCGCCTTAACTTAATAAGCTGCTCCTAAAAAATTAAGGGATATAATCACTATGGATATATCTATATAAACCTGAGAAAAAGAAAACTTTTCACAAGGAAAGTGGGATCACTAAGAATTTCAAAGATTGTAAGATATCATCAGCCAAATAAACCTTCCTCCCACCTGCTCACCCACTTGTCACTAAATGATAGCAGAGACTCTAAGGCCACACATAAGTAGAGTTTATCGTTAATCTATGTATACACTTCTGAGTTTAAAACAAAAAGCAAATAAAAATAAAAATTTATATCTGTACTAGCAGCATACAAAATGCTTTAAGAAACTGTATAATACATTTTATGCTTTGAGCTATATTTTCTAGTTCAACAAAGACTGAGCATAGCATATAATTATTCAGCATCTTTACCAGTTTTACCAGCTTATTACTAAATAAATTATATTAATATTTAATTGTTTTCCTTTTTCATTCATCTTTCATGAATTTATCACGAAAAACAGAAGAGAAATGCAGGTTAATAGTAATCTATCTAGCTCTGCTTTGAGCCTATCGTGAAGCTGCCACACTGAGAAAATGGCCTGACACAGAAAGATTACTTTGGTAGATCTCACGTCTCCAAAAAATATACATTATAGACATGTAAGAATCTTCATAGACACAACAAACTTAGAGATTTGAAAGCAAGCAGAAACAAGCTCAACAATTCACATAAGATACAAAACGTTTCACTTTTTATGCTACTTCAATCACATCACACAAAATATGATCTCTTCAGTTAAATTTCATATTACAGAATGATGCTTTCAAGTTATACCTAGATTTTATGAAGCACAGGGTCAGGTTTTAAAACTATTGGGAATTCCTAGTCAAATTCACATTTCCCTCAGGAAGGAGGTCTTTTCAAAAAGTTGATTTTGAAAATATTACATACTACTATTCCATAAAACTATAGATAATGGAAAATTAGTCATTTCATATGATTGGTATCTTATGGTGACTACAAAAAAAAAAACTTCCCTAAAACTAACCCACAAACAATCTAAAACAAAATAGTTAGTGGGCAGAAAAATCTTTATGTTTGAATAGCTGGATTCCTGGATTTTTAAGGCACAAATATAACAAACATACAGTCTTATATTCAGAGGCTGGTAGAACTCACTAAATCAAACTGGATAGAGAACTAGAGAAATAGGTCAGACTTTAAAGTCATATACAGATAAAGGGAAATTATTTGCAAGTATTTTCTGGAGACTAGATTTTTGATAAGCTTCATATAAGAAATTGATACAGTCCAATTTTTTTTTTTTTTAAGATTTTGTTTTTCCTTTTTCTCCCCAAAGTCCCCTGGAACATAGTTGTGTATTTTTAGTTGTGGGTCCTTCTAGTTGTGGCATGTGGGACGCCACCTCAGCATGACCTGATGGATGAGTGGTGCCACGTCCATGCCCAAGATTCCAACCAGTGAAACCCTGGGCCGCCACAGCGGAGCACGTGAACTTAACCACTCGGCCACGGGGCTGGCCCCTAGCCCAAATTTTTAAAATTGAAAAGCAGAAGAAAATTCTAAGCAACATTTAATAGATTACTTTCTTCTCCTTTTTATAGTTACTGACATAACCTAGAAAATATTTATGACTTTTATTACAATGGTTTGACTTTTGTTTTCGTTTGTGAAGAGTTTTAGATAATGTTTACATGGTATATTCCTGTAAGTCTACTTTTTACTAGTGTTCTCATCACAATGTTCTTTAAAGGCATAGGAAAATGAAATTAATTTGCTATCCACAATTTTTTCCTAATAATGCAAATGAACTAGGTAGGTTTTTAAAATAATTTTTAAACTATTTTTTAAAATAAAGCTGTATTTTGTTTTATCAAAATACAGATTGTTTGGAATTTCCATAGCAAGTCAAAAAAATGTCAGGTTTTGGGCCTCAATCTCGTCATAAACCAGCTATGTGACCTTGAATGAACAACCATCTCCCTGCACCTCCATTTCTTTACTAAAAATTAGGGTGTTTTAAAACAGAACTACAATCTATGATTCTAGTTAGTAACTGTTATCCCACTACACACAGATGGTATCTCCTTTAAAAAGCGGCCCATTTCCAAAGGTAGCGTCTTTTTCACTTTGCAAATGGTAGGTAACCTGTCTACAATTGAGAATGTAATAGTTATCCCCTACTTGATTTTAGTTACATTTTAGTATCTATGTCAAGTAATAGAATTCATAAGCAAATAATAAAAACTGAAAAAGTCCATGCTGAAATCAGAATTAATTTTCTTCTATTGCCCTAAATGTAATGTAGTTTTCCACTATCACTTACTGTGCTTCATTTTGAAGTCTGATACTATTCCTTATGGGAGTAGTCCATGGAAGTTCATTTCATTTCTTCTTAACATAATGGCATAGTTTCTATGGATTTATTGTGTCTTCACTGTGTTAAACTTTAAGTAGATTGTTTGAAATCTGAAGGTTAAAATTCAATTCTAACATTATCTCATGAACCATATTGGTTGAGAAATCTTTATTCCTTATAAAAATTTGACCATCACACTATTTTATTTTTAATTTTTTTTTAAAGATTGGCACCTGAGCTAACAACTGTTGCCAATCTTATTATTTTTTTCTGCTTTTTCTCCTCAAATCCCCCCAGTACATAGTTGTATATTTTAGTTGTGGGTCCTTCTAGTTGTAGCATGTGGGACGCAGCCTCAGCGTGGCCTGACAAGTGGTGCCATGTCCGCGCCCAGGATCCGAACCAGCGAAACCCTGGGCCACCGAAGCAGAGTGTGTGAACTTAACCACTCGGCCACAGGGCCGGCCCCCATCACACTATTTTTTATTTTAATTTCCTACTCTGGCTATAGAAATTTGCCAGGAAAGGCTTAAAAGATTATTGTCTTAATTTTTACAGCTTAGAAAATGGAATTTTAATTTTTCGTTTTCACTTTACAATAGCTGCAAACATTATTTCTAACCAGACCATGTTAGTTAGTCCTTTTATATTCACTTGTTGTTCTAAAAGATGTACATAACTCAAAGAGACTTAATAGCAAATATAATCATTATTCTTTCCAGTTTATATTCATTCTCAGGAAAAGTAAAATTATTTCAAATAAAACACACCATGTACCATTTAAACATTTGGCAATATCAAATGCTACGGAAAGCCTCAATAAATCAATGACATTTGAAAATATCAGTGAATATTTTTTCTATATAGCCTTATCACCAAAAGATCAAAGTAGGTAGACTAGGAACCCATTTGATACATTGAATATTCAAACATAACCATTTCCATTTAAATTAACAAAAATGTATACTAAATTAAACTTACCGAGAAAATTCTATTTATTTTGCTAATGTCCACTTTTTTAAAAAAGAAAAAATCTTCTCTATCATTAAGTGAATTCATATCCTGTTCAAGTAGCAAATAAAATATACACATTCAACCAATAATATAATAGTAAATCAATTAACCAGAACCCAATACTACTCTCAATTATTACAAAATTAATTTTTTTGCAAAAAGAGAGGCATCTTTGAATAAAAGATTAATCACTGCTTTTCAGAAGGAAGATCCTGAGACAACCCAACTTTTTTTTATGCCTTAATGTCTGAAATTATTTGACTTTAGTATATTTAAACATGGGAAAATACAATAAAATATTTTATACATTCATTTAACAGACATTTACTGGATTATATTTTATAAAAATCAGTTTAGCAAAAAATTCAAAGTTTTTGGTAACCATCAAGTTCAGAATAAAGGAGCACCAACTGCCACAGACACTTCATACATAAAAATCTCATTTCCTAAAACTCCTGGTTAAAGTTACTGCAAAGATAAAAAGATCAGGATCACTTAGCTTAAAGACTCATAAGCAAACACGAAGTAAAAATGTACATAAACATGATATAGGGGAGGAACCCAAAGGGGTAAAAAAGCTCACTTGTCCCATTCATCCGTTATGTTCAATATATAATTTGTACTCAGATCTATTTCATAACAAATACAGAAGACAGCTCACATTCAAATTTACCTATTATAATAAGTAAATAGTCTAGTCACCATAGACCAAGCATTATAAGGATTCTCCTTGCTTCTTGGTTTAAACTTTGCTTAAATTTTAGAATTTAGAATTAGTGCTGTCATTTTTCACTTGCTTCTTAGGGTCTCCTTTCCTAGAAGGACATGTTATCTTCAATGGACTGGATTCAAGAAAGTTACTATGGACTGTGAATTTAGAGAATTATGAAGGAAAGAGTTGCCAAATCACAGGAAAAGTCAGAAAATTGTGAATATGGAAAGATCAAGACTAGGATTTGAAATATATTACCTGTTCCAAGTTTTGAAGGCATTGCTGGCTCGTTTGAACAGATATCCTTCCATAACAATGCCATTTGCAGCATCTACATTATATTCTAACTTAGAATCATCACTGGAGAAATCCTAGACAAAATAACACATAAAAAAGTTCATGTGACTTGACTAAGTTCCCTAGACAATAAGTTTACCCTAGAGAAACAGCTCAAATGGTAGAAAAGCTTTGTATTAAGATGGTTACATCAACAATATTCATAAGAAAGAGGGAGAACTAAATGTTCAATAATAGAAGAATGCTTCAATATATTAAAGTATTTCCATTCAGTGGACTATTATGCAATTATTATGATGATATAAAAATACAGATGATTATATAGAATATACTCTAAAAGAGAAAACAGAGTATAAATTGTGTATACACTGTGATTACAGCACAAAATAATATGTATACAAATAGACAAAGGGAACAACTAAATATTATACACAGTGTTATGTTTAAAATGTTTTCATTTTATCCAAATATTTCATGGTAATGTGTATGCTAACAAAAAAAGGGAATATAAACATATTTAATTGGAATTATTTATAGCTACTACTAATTTCTAAGAATATTACTATTATGATAGTTTTTTATTCTGATAGGAGTAATAACTCCACCACTTGGGAGTTCAGAAGTAGGATAAAGGCATCTTTTTCCTAAAATAAAATTTAGCTTTGAAAAGGAAAAGAATCACAGTTTGAAGCGGGCATGCTGAACTCACTTTTTTATGAGGACTATGGAGTCACTCATAGTCTTCTTCTATCATTCAAATCATTCTAGTTTTCACTTGAATGCAATTCAAACTTTCCAAGGATTCACGAAGTTTAGAAATCAGAAATCCTATATTTAAAATATTTCCTGATGAACTTCTGAAGTAATTTGAACAAAACTTCAAGACTGCTGCTATCCCCAAACTTAAAACTCTAAAAATCAGTCTCAGAACTTTCAAAATTACTTCTGGACCAATGATCAAATTTAGAATGCTATCCTATTAGGGAGTAGTAAACTTTCTGTCCTGAGAAAGATTTTGGCAGAGGCTGGATGACCACCTGCCAAGAATGTGGGGGTCCTGCACCAGAGAGGAGGCAGAGTAAGAATCACCTAAGGGCTTTCCAATTCTAAGAGTCTGAAGGATGGGAAAAGGAAACAGACTAAACTCAGAATTAAAAACAAAAACTCTCCTGACATGTCTCAAAATCTAACCATAAAAAGACATGATAATCTAAAATAATCAAGTGAAATAGAATCTGTAAATGAATTGCTACATTTAAAAAATCAGGGAACCTTTTAATTTTCTCATTTAAAATTTGAGGCTATAATTTATTTAATTACACAGATAGGATTAAGTCAGCAATAACTGAGCTTAGCAACATTCTAAAGGTTTCATTTGTAACATCGGCAGTTTTTTTAATAACCCTGATGCTATTTAAAACATAAAATAAAACTTCCTTGAGAATGCAATGAATTATAAGTATTTTTCTAATTTTCAACTATATTTCTTGAGATAAACTGTCTTCAATTTAATTACTATTAATATCAATTAATATTTTATAGTACTTAAAATGTAACAGATTATATGATTTTACAATGAAAGCAACTAATAATGTTGAATAAAAAACATAATATTAGAACTTAAATACATTGATGAGCTGACAAATTAGGAAGGAATACTTAAAGGCAAAAGATTAAGTGAAAACTGGAAGCCAAAGAGGTAAGCAGAGCAAGGCAGCCAGCTTTCATCTTTAAGGGCATTTGCCCCATCAGGAGAACCTGAAGCTTTGGTGTGGGGCCCAGGGAATACAAGGCAAGACCAAAGTTGGCCAACAAAGGAAATCTAATAGAAACCGTTCCTTTTGAAATTGCAAGCAAGACAAGAAGGACCATTATTACCACGTCAATTCAAGATTATGTTGGAGAGCATAGCCAGCAAGATAATAAAAAGGAAAGGATTGGAAAGGAAGGAACGAACTATCATTTGCAGACAATACGACTGTGTAGACAGAACATCCAAAAGAATCCAGTGATAAATTAGTATTACAAAGAGCTTAACAAGATTACTGGTTACAAAATCAATACAGAAAAATAAACTTTACTCTAATATATAACAAAATTAAACAGAAAAGAAAATTTTAAAATATAACATTTACAAAAACATTTGCAACACAAATGTCTAGGAATAAATCTAAAAAAAGATGTACATGAAAATTATCAAACTTTCTGAAGGATATTTTAAAAAACAAATAAATGGAGAAATATTTCAAGCTCATGGATTAGAAAACATTTTAAAATAAAGACATCGGTTCTTCCCCAAATGATTCATAGATCCAATGCCATCCCAATCGAAATCCCAAAAGCTATTTTTATGCAACCTGAAAAGGTGCTCCTGAAATTTATACGGAAATGCAAAATTTAGGCAATTCACTTTTGAAGAAGAGAAGGTAGGAAGGAGGCTTTGCTTTGTCAGATATCTAGATATACTGTAAAGCTAAAATAATATTTGCACAATATTGGCACAATTAAGACAAAAACACCAATGAAATGGAATAGAGAGACTGAAACAGACTTCAAAAATAGCGAAATGTGATGTATAACAGAGGATGTAACACAGAGTAGCAGGGAAAGAACAAACTTTTCAATAACTGATCTGGATCAGCGGGCTACCAATGAGAGAACAAAAGGAAACTGGATCTCTACCCCACAGCAAACACAAAAACCCAATTACAAATGGACTGACGATCTAAACACAAAAGGCAAATCTGTGAACATTTAGAAGATTATAAAGGAAATGTACATGATCTTTGTTTGGGAAGGATTTATTAAACAAGCCACAAAAGGTACCAAACATAAAAGTCATAAAAAAAAAACAAAACTATGTGAAAATTAAAAACACATAAACGCCCAAAAGGGACTTATATCCAGAATGTATAAGAATCTGGTCAACAGGCAAGCCGATGAAAAAATGGGAGAAAGACTAACACATTTCACAAACAGGCTATCCAAACGACCAACAGACAAAGGGGAAGGGGATTGAGCTCATTAGTGATTAAAGCATAAATTAAAACCACAATGAGCTGTCACTATCGACCCACCAAATTTGGCAAAAATCAAAAACTCTCATAATACAATGAAGTAGCAAGGAGCAATGGGAATTCTCACACAGTGCTCCCTGTGGGAACGGCATAACATTTTGAAAAATAATTTAGCATCATCTACTGCTAAACATATTATATACCCTCTGATACAGCAGTTTTACTCCTGGGCATAAATCTATCAGGAATGTGTGCACATATCCAAAAGGCATGTACACGAATGTGCACAGCACCAATGTTTCTTCAATTGATCAACTTCAATTCTTGAAAAGTCTAAATAACTATACTAGACACATTTTCCCTCAATTTTTAAGTGACTGGATCTTTTCCTTCCTTCTTTCTTTCTTTCTTTTTTTTTTTTTTTGTTACCTGTAATGCAGCCTTGTGTCAGCATTTAAGGGCAGAAAAAAGGTAAGTATTCAAAATGAGCAAGAATAGCATTACTTTCTTTAAAGGAAAACAGTAATTGACTATTATTTAAAATCAAATAAATTAATCAGATTTAATAACCTACTTTGGATGTTCAGTACAACATTGAGCTGAGTATACATGAAGGAAAGATATTAAAAGACACATAATATTCATTAAATAATTGAGTTTAAGCCAATAGTCACATTTCTACAAATATCATGATGTCTCGTTTTAATTAGAAATCATTGGTCCCAATTTTTAACACTTTCCACAGTAATGTCATTAAAACAAGTTACCCAACCAACAGTGATTCTAATTTTAAACAAAACAAAACATGAAGTTAGTCTTACCTGACTATAACTAGAAGTAACTAATTTAAAGATGGTCTGATAGCAAATCTTACCCTTTTTCAATAATGTTTCTCTTTGAATATTAATAACCCATCACCAATAAAGTTTTCCTTACTTTTAGTACTTTTATTCCTTACTTTCACTTTTTTCCACTGATATCTTCTATGTCAGATCTAGTTTACCGGTTTTTTTTAAAGATTGGCAGCTGCGCTAACATCTGTTGCCAATCTTCTTTTTTTTTTTTTCCTTCTTCTCCCCAAAGCCTCCTGGTATGTAGTTGTATGTTCTAGTTGTGTGCCTCTGGTTGTGACATGTTGGTGCCCAGGATCCGAACCTACTTGTATTATTACATTCAACCTCCAATTCTCTCCTCTTATTTTCAGATTACTACACAAAAGATATCACTAACTATATAAGACAAAATATTATTAGGTTGAGTTCCAAGTATGCCATTTTCAAAGCTTTTAGCATGCAAAAATAAAGACTGGTTTCATATTTAAATTTTCATTTTTAAAAACATATTTTTGAAATATGAGTTTAGCTAGACTTAGGCAAATTAACAAGAAATGCAAGTGAAATTTCAGCATCACAGGAGACAGAGGTGCTGACTTAGAGTGACTGCAACTGGAAAGTGCATAACACCAAACACACACATTGATGCTCCACCCCCCCACTCTCCACCCCCTCACCTCTTTCTCCCTCCCTCCCTCCTTCCCCCCCCCCCCACACTTTACAGGGATTGGTGATATCTTAATTGAAACTATGAATAGTGTTTTACATTCCAACTAAGGGCCACTTTTAAACTACTTAAGCCTCTAAGAGATTGGTATATTTTTCAGCTGGTTTGAGAGCATGGCTTTCAAATATTTTGATGTAAAAGAATAATACATGTCTGAACATCTGAAAAATATTTTACTTTTCACAAAAAAAGGAGGAATTTATCTAAACAATTCTAAACAATTTAATTACTAAAGCAACTCAAGGATTTGTTTCAACACAATGGTATCTTGCTGAAACCAATAATCAAACAATTTGTGTAAAATGGGAATTAATCTCCCTTAACTTTTCCCCTCCAGTACCTTTTGCTGAATGGTTGAATGTTTTTGCTCCATCTCTCTTTTCTCCTTTGCTGCATCCACAACCAGTCGATCCAACTATAAAAGGGAAAAAAAGGAAATTATACAGACTTAAAAATTTTTTTTAAAAGGTATGATTTTTTTTTAAATCATATTCCTGATAAGCGAGTCAATTTAAGTTTACCTAAAAATGCATTGTGGCTACAACTTTAAAGAGGAAGTTATTTTCTTCTCTGGTATCAAATCTTCTTTTAGAAGGTCTGTACCTCCTCTAGGGGAAATGTTTCTAAGAACAGTCATGGTGCCAAGTAAATGTGACAAGAGGCCTTATCAAGGGCTCAAGAGTGATAACATCTTGGGGCCAGCCCAGTGGCGCAGTGGTTAAGTTCGCACGTTCTGCTTTGGTGGCCTGGGGTTCGCCAGTTCGGATCACAGGTACAGACATGACACGGCTTGGCAAGCCATGCTGTGGTAGGTGTTCCACGTATAAAGTAGAGGAAGATGGGCACGGATGTTAGCTCAGGGCCAGGCTTCCTCAGCAAAAAGAGGAGGATTGGCAGCAGTTAGCTCAGGGCTAATCTTCCTCAAAAAAAAAAAATAATAATAAAAAAGAGAGTGATAATATGTTCACTCCTTGAATAAGGAAAATGACAAGCTTAAGTTGCCTGCTGACCCACTCAGCAATTCTGGTAGTCAAAATCAAAGATAGAAAGAATAATACACTAGTGATGTTTTTCCCCAAATGGCAAAAAGTAGCAGCTAAGCTAGCACAGGCCAGCTCTCACAAGTTCAACGCAACAGACACTTCCAATCACTCAGGATGCTTCATGTCTTCAAGCTGGCTTCCTAATGTTATAATCAAATCTAAAACGTAGAAAAAGTAATTCACCAGATAAACGAGAAAGCTAAAAATAATAATAAGAGAATAATCATTTATAAGACCAGGGAATAAAATCACCAATTTTTAATGTTCTTTTTTAAAAGCTCAAAAAACTTAAGAAATCATAAAATCTCATTTCTTTCTTGTTCTTTTCCATCAGAAAAGATGATTTTCCATCAAAAGAAAAGTATCTGATTTCCAATATTATGACAAATGCACTGGCTTCTTCAATTCCTCTTTGCTGAAACAACAAACAGTTGGGTCATAAAATACTCCATTATGTGGGTCTACTCTTCTAGACTGTGATGTACATCGTTTCATCTTTGAACTTCCATCACCTCTAACTGATAAACGTGTGAAAAGGGAATAAACAAAAATGTAAATGTCAACAGGAATATGGAGGACGATAAGGTATTAAATGTCCACGTTTGAATTGATATCCTTTCAAAACTAAATTGAAAAAGCCATCTTAAAAAACTATTTTCTTATTCACTAGCACAAATGATGTGTTTTTTCTACAGAAGTATAATTCTAGCCACAGAATCTTAATATCACTGAATAGTAATTAAAAAGAAAAAAGAAAACACACTGAAACAGAACCAGTATCACTATTATAAAATATGTGATTTAGATGGCAACTACACCACTCCACTTTAGGATCTAACACATACATACCTTGGTGACGTGTAACATTGATTTAATGGGTAATGCTGGTATATGCTGCGCTAGAAAAATATTTGCCCTCAATAGTTTCTCATATTGAATGAGTGGAATAATCATTATACTATGGTTTTACAGCCTTTAATTGAATGGCATATAAATATTATTCATTCATTCAGATGGAAGTACAGTATAAGGCAACACCCAAGATTCAAACTAATATTTATAAACCTGCGTGCATGTACCTTCCACACCAGTACTGCAATGCAAATAATGGTTTTCTGCCTGTCAAACTGGTAGTAAATTCCTCTGCTGTATCCCACCCCACTGCTATTGCAGCGGAAGGAGAGAAAATTCTGCTCTCTCTCTCAGGGCAGAAGCATAAAGAAAAAATATCTTTCAACATGGTGGAGGATTGGGGGAGGTATGAGTTGGAGAGGTGTGAAGACTGGAAGTCTTGTCTCCTAGAGGCCAGGGGGCTGCATCAGGAAGAGAGAGTTTGGAGCACAGCAGGATGTGTCCCCAGTTTCTCAGTTATGAGTTTAACAGGTTCCTGTAACTAGCCAAGTGCCTCCAATCCTCTACCTGTGTTCTGAGTACCTTCCACTCCTACCATCTCAGATGTCATCACTTCTCTTTCTGCTTTTCAACTTTTCCCATTCCCATATGCTTTTAAATTTGTGCAAATCATACCACCTTAAGTAAAACCTTCCTCCAACCCATATTCCTCTCTAGCTACCACCTGCTCTATTTCCTTCAAAACACAACTTCTTGAAAATTTTTCCCTGTTCTCCACTTGCTTGTTTCATATTCATCTACCCACTGTAACTTAGCTTCTGTCACCTGGACCCTCAACTCTAAAAAAGGTAACAACCTTCTTGATGCTAAAGCCAATAGGTATTTCTCAGTCCTAGGTTTAATTGACCTTCTTTCTGGTATTTGTTCTGACAACCACTCCCTCCTTTTTGAGACACTCTTTCCTTGGCCTGTGCTACCACAATCTTCCAGTTTTCCACCTCCTCTCTCAGCTATATTCTCATGGAGTTCCTCTTACCTAGCCACCTCTTAAAAGTTGGTCATTCTTAGAGCCCTGTCCCAAGCCAAATTCTCTTTTTACTCTATACTAGTGGACCTTGACCGTAACTTATAAAATCAAAATCTTTAGGCAAGATGTTCTGTCACTTAAATTTTTTTAAAATAGCTCCAGCATTTTGAGATTCCTATTAACTCTCCTTTGGTCAACTCACCCACCCACTCTAGTGGCTGCAAATAGCAATTATATGCTGTTGACTCCTTTACTCTACATCTTTCTCTTGAGCTCCAGACACATCCACCTAGATGTCCTATTCTCAAAAATCAACACACTTAAACCTGAACTCATCATGTCCCTCCACTCTCAAATTGGCTATATCTTAAATACCCCTTAAGTCGATCTATTTGTCTCCATCCCTACTGCTATGACCCTGGTTCCAGATGCTATTATCTCATAACTGAATTACTGAAAGAATACCCTAACTGACCACCTCCAAGCAGGCCATGTTATCCATGAGACACTACAGGCACAGGGGCTTAGATGCTTTTCAAGGACGTGCAAAATTATTTGAGATCTGGGAGGGGAAAACTGCAAAACTAAAATTAATAAATATCTAAAATACACAATTATTTAAACTAGTCAATTAAAATCCAACTCATTCTTTTTAATCAATTATACCTAATGTAAGACGAGGGTGGAATCTAACGTTTGATAGGATGTGAGGAGTGCCTAGAGCCTAGGAAGGTCTTGTCGTCCTCCCAAGTCTGGGTTAGATGTTCTATCTATGTGTTGCTGTAACACTCTGATCCCCCACTATGTGGCAGAAACAGCTAACCGTCCCCCAATATCCATTCTCTCCTTCTTTCTTAACAAGAGAACCCCCAAATTCTAGTAGGTCACATGGTTACTGGCATTAACTCTTATTTCCCAGCTTTCTTTGCAGCTAGTGTGACATTGGGATGTACGTAGAGGTGGCTTATACAATTTCCAGGAAATAGCCTTAAACAGAGGGAATGCAACTTTCTTGCCCCTTTCCTCCTTCCTATTAGCTGGAATTTGGGTATGATGTCTCAAGATTGATCAGCCACTTTGAACCATGAGATAAAATCAAAAATATAATAAGCCCGGGTCACTGCAGATCAAGCAACCACCATACCAGGCCTTTGATTTTACAAAGGAGGAATAAAATTCTATATTGAAGCTACTACTATTTTCAGCTTTCTATCATATGCAAATAAACATAATCTCAATTTATATATCCAGACAGGGCACTTAGCACAGTCTGCATAGTCTGGTGACTTGTCAGTTTTTTCCAAGAGATTAAGTTCTCTAGAGATTAAGTTCTACAGAGGCAGGGAACAGTATCTCTGAAATTAATGGCCTAAGCCCTGCTATCCCTCTCCCACACCATACACACACACACCCCTGCAAGCACCATACTTACTGTTGGTCAATGAACGCAATTCTCATTCAGCTCTTACCTTTTCCCCATTTCCCTAAATTCTATTTTTCATTCTTAATCCCCTCTCTTCAAAATGTAAGCCGAACCATTTTGGGAAAGAAAATCACCTAAAAATTGATACTATTAAATCCAGAAAGCTCACCAATCAACAAAAAAGAATGTTCCAGAACAGATCTAATATAAAGCTCTGATCAGATATCAAAATTAATTTGAAAATAATGAAATTTCTAAATAATGTTCTTATATATGTATAATTCACACCTGTGCGTGTGTGTATAAAATGAAGAAGTTCCTAAGAGTTCTATAATCTTAAGCTGCTAAAATTTTATTATTGAAAATAGCAAAATACAGATTTTTTGAAAATAAAAAAGAGCTATAAATCAAATGAAAAACCACTTAGAAGAGTAACTCAATTATCCAAATGTAAGAAATGAAAAAATAAATTCAGCTATGTATACTGTAAAACAGACACTTTGTTTTTAAATTCTTCTTTTCAGTACATTCACATACTATCTATAACATATTTTTTAATTTAATCGCACTTTTGGTCATATATTTAACCCATATACAAATCTGCTGTAGCATCAAACTTCTTCATTAAATAAATGAAATGTTAAATTTCCCAATATGCTAAATTTATTTAAAAGTACAGATTTCAGAGCAAAGGTAACAAAAGCAAAAATAAACAAGTGAGATGACATCAAACCTAAAAGCTCCTGCACAGCAAAGGAAACCATCACAAAAGTAAAAAGGTAACCTACTGAATGGCAGAAAATATTTGCAAATCATGTATAAAGGGTTAATATTCAAAATACATAAAGAACTCAAACAACTCCATAGTGAAAAAACAATCTGATTAAAAAATGGGCAGAGGATCTTACAAGACATTTTTCCACAGAAGACATACAGATGGCCAATACACAGGTACACGAAAAGGTGCTCATTGTCATAAATCATCAAGAAAATGTAAACTAAAACTACAATGAGATATTGCCTCATACCTGTTAAAATGGCTATCATCAAAAAGATAGAGATAACAAATGTTGCCAAGGGTGTGGAGAAAAGGAAACCCTTGTGCATTGTTGGTGGGAACATAAATTGGCGCAGCCACTATGGAAAACAGTATGAAGGTTCCTCAAAAAATTAAAAATACAACTATCATATGGTCCGGCAATTCCACTTCTGGGAATTTATCTGAAGGAAACAAAGACACTAACTTGAAAAGATACCTGCATTCCCATGTCCACTGCAGCATTATTCACCATAGCCAAAACATGAAAACAATCTAATTGTCCATCAACAGATGAATGGATAAAGAAAACGTGGTATATATACACAATGGAATATTATATAGCCATAAAAAAGAAGGAAATCATGCCTCTTGCAATAACATGGATGGATCTTGAAGGTATTATGCTAAGGAAAATATACGAGACAGAAAAAGACAAACACTGTAGGATCTCACCGATATGTGGAAACTAAAAAGAAATCAAACTCATAGATACAGAGAACAGACTGAAGCATGCCAGAGACAGGGGGTAGAGGGTGGTCAAAATGGGTGAAAGGGGTCAAAAGGTACAAACTTTCAGTTAAAAAATAACTAAGTCCTGGGGATGTAATGTACAGCATGGTGACTATAGTTATTAATACTGCATTGTATATTTGAAAGTTGCTAAGAGAGTAGATCTTAAAAGTTCTCATTACAAGAAAAAAAAAATATGTAACTAAGTGGAGTTCTGGATATTAACTAGACTTACTGTGGTGATCATTTCCCAATATATACATATATTGAATCACTGTTTTCCACACCTGAAACCAGTATATGTCAATTATGTCTCAATAAAAAAAATACAGATATCAGTGTATAATACAGAATCAAGAAACACAGTACAACATTACCTGTGCACCAAGATCCTTCATGTAGGGTCCAAGTTCACTAAACAGATCATATCCTTGATGAAAGAAGGCCAAATGGGCATACATGAAGGATAACATCTAATAGGAGAAAAGAAGATTGATAGTTTAAAATCAGTTCTTAGATAAATATTCTGAAATTTCTTAAAATGCTGATCCTAGCTAATGTTTAAAAGTTACTCCACCAGAGCACAAAATACCAAATCTCTTTAAAATTAAACTGAGTCATTTTTCTTAAAAGAATTATTTCAGAAATATTTGCAAATATGAAAATAAATTTTATTTAAAAGAAATTTCCAAGTGGTTTAAAATTTTAACAATGACCCAAATTTTAGTTGTTTAGATTATATACTAATGATCAAAATTTAAATGGTAATAATTCAAAGAATCAAGTTTTCAATAGCTTCATCATCTTCCTAGGTACTTTTATAAAATATCTACGTGCCTTTCAACCAAACTCACTGACAAAACAAACTGCAAATAAAACATTACAAGATTAGAAGGGGGAAATACGAAGCTCTCAAAATAAAACAATCACACTTTATAATCAATTAGATGATTAAGAACAACCCAAAGTAGGAGAATGCTCATTTTTTTTCTCAAGATACCAAAATAAAATGAGTCAACAGACTTTGCCAATATGGGGGATTCTTTATATTCATTCCAAAAGCCCAAAAATGTCATTAATGGATTGAGATTTCACCTGTTCATGAGAGAAAAGTTACCCTTATTTTTATTAGTTAAGTTGTTACATGAAAAGGAATTAAATAATTCAATCACAATACTGAGAGAATTTTCCAAATGTCCATGTTATTTTTAGCAAATATTTAGCAAATTTAGCAAGAAGAGGCATCTCTAATTCTCTCTAAAATAGGTCACAAAGTCCTTAACACTCAAGTATCCTTCTAAAGGAATCTTCTTTTTGAAGAGGAAAACCAATTAAGTAAAACACAAAGACAAAAGGACAAAGCTCACTAAAAGATTATTCTGGAATTAGATAACAGAGCTGGTATATCTTTGCAAATATTAAAAAAAAAAAACCCTGAAATATAAGAAGGGAGATTAATAGCTATGACTATATAAAAATGTAAAATGTCTGTACATCAAAACACATAATACCCATACTAAAATATAAATGATAAACTAGTAAAAAAAATACATGACAAAGGGTTAATAGTCTTAATACACAAGAGATGTTACAAATCAGTATGAAAAAGATGAACAATCCAAAAGAAAAAGAGACAAAGAACACAAACAAGGAATACTAGTAGACAAAAAAATATGGAAAAAAATGTTCAAATTCATTTGTATTAAAAAAATGCAAAACTGAACAATAGAGATCATATTCTCTATCTACCGAACTGTGGGTAGGGTGGGGGAAACTAATATCCAGTGTTAGCAAAACACGGAGGAATGTTCACTCTCACACATTATTAGTGGAAATGTTGTAAAACCCTTAAAATTTGGCAACATTTTTTTAAAACCTTAATAAATGCTTAAGCCCTATGACTAAGTAATCTCTTATCTTAATCTATCCTAAGGAAATAATATTATTCATTAGAATGATCACTATAATGTTATGCTTTATTGTCAAAAACATGGAAATTAAAAGTCCATTCATGGGTGAAGTTAATCTATGCTATATTCAAGGTCAGAAACCTATGACTAGCAAACTATATCCAGCACACCATCTGTTTCTGGATGGCCTATGAGCAGTTTTTACATTTTGAAATGGTTGAAAGAAAATAAAAAGCAGCCATGAAATTCATGACATATGAAAATTACATGAAATTCAAATTTCCATGTCTACTAAAAAAGTTTTAATGGAACACAGCCATCCCATTCATTTACATGTTGTCTATGGCTTTCTCATTACAACAGCACAGTTAAGTAGCTGAAACACAGACCATATCGCCTAAGATATTTACTACTCAATCCTTGAAAAGAAAGTTTGCCCACTCCTAGTATATTCATATGGTAGAGTTCTATCTGGCCACAAAAGTCATCATTAAATAAAAAATATTTAATGACATAGGATGATTTTGGAGTGAATTAGTGAAAAAAGAAAATTATGAAACAGTATATAGAAATGATTCCTATTTTGTTTAAAAAAATTAAATTGCATTATATACACCAAGATATTAACAGTGGTTCTCCCTTGGTAGTAGGATTTATAAGTATTTTTATTTTTCTCTTCATACATTTTCTTTTCCAATTTTCCACAATTAATACATATTACTCTCAACCTGGAAAAGGAGGTGGGGGAGTAAACATGAAATACAATGTACTTATCTGATTAAGAAACAAAGATAGAATTTAGGGAAAAGCTAGATGGAAACAAGGATCAAAACCAATTTAAGTATACCCTTTCAGAAACAAATAATAATAACTTTGGTGAACAAAGTCAGAGAGGAGAAATTATTTCTAAGGTTCTCAAAATATGAAAGAGTGTAATACCATACCACTACCATCCCCTGCCCATTTCCTTGTTAGGTGTAAGACAAAAAAATGGGCACAGGGCAGCGAGAGAAAGATAATCTGTGTATGACTCCACTCATATGAGGAATTTAAAACTATGGACCAAGAACAGTTTAGTGGATACCAGGGGAAAGGTGGGGTGGGGGGTGGGCACAAAGGGTGAAGTGGTGCACCTACAACATGACTGACAAACATTAACGTACAATTGAAATTTCACAAGATTGTAACCTATCAATAACTCAATAAAAAAAAAAAAAATGGGCACAGGGGACATGATGAGACATTTCTCCAAAGAAGATATACGGATGGTCAATAGACACATGAAAAGATGCTCATCATCACTAATCATCAGGGAAATGCAAATCAAAACTACACTAAGATATTACCTTACGCCTGTTAGAATGGCAAAAATATCCAAAACCAAGAGTGACAAATGTTGGAGAGGCTGTGGAGAAAAAGGAACCCTCATACACTGTTGGTGGGAATGCAAACTGGTGCAGCCACTATGGAAAACAGTATGGAGATTTCTCAAAAAGTTAAAACTAGAAATACCTTATGACCCAGCCATCCCACTACTGGGTATCTATCCTAAGAACCTGAAATCAGCAATTCCAAAAGTCCCATGCACCCCTATGTTCATTGCAGCATTATTCACAATAGCCAAGTCATGGAACCAACCTAAGTGCCCAGCAACTGATGACTGGATAAAGAAGATATGGTATACATATACAATGGAATACTACTCAGCCACAAAAAAGGACAGTCATCCCATTCACAACAACATGGATAGACCTTGAGGGTATTATGTTGAGTGAAATAAGCCTTACAGAGAAAGACGAACTCTGTATGACTCCACTCATAGGTGGTAGTTAACATATAGATAAAGAGAACTGATCAGTGGTTACCAGGGAAAAGGGGCGGTGGGGGGAGGGCAGTAGGGGTGAAGTGATGTACCTACAACATGACTAATAATGATGTACAAGTGTAATTTCACAAGGTTGTTAACTATCATAATCTTAATTTAAAAAAATGGGCAAAAAAAAAAAAGAATCACTGTCATCATGGGTGTCGAGGCTGAGGAAATAAAAGTGATCCTCAAATTTTATCCCATTTGTTTTCTAACTGCACACCAAAAAATAAATCAAAAGGCTGATACATCATCAACAACCCTAAGAGAAAAGTTCTCTAAATGATACTATTTATGTATGTCCTCAATCTCCAATATTTTAAATGTCTACTTTAAGGAGCTCACAGAGTATTAATAGATAAGACACACATAAATAACTATAAAATGAAGGAGACAAAAAAGAGGTTAAGAGACACATAAGAAGTACAGTGAGATCAATAAGAAGATTAATTATGAACGTGGAAAAAATATATATACACATACACATATATATACTCACATATATTTATATACATCATGCTGCTTTAAACACTTAAATATGTACATGTAGTTTCATATTAAAATATTTAAAATATCACTTTGATAAATATCTTACTGATTTTAGGATTTCTGATCTCCTTTTTGATTGAAGGACATTAATCTGAGGGAAAATACACTTTGTTAATCATCCATGCATTATTTTAAAAACTAATCTATAATGCAATCTTGTAAAAGTTACTTATTCTAATGGTTTAACATTTTTCCAGAAAATTAAAAACAAAGTTCAAGTTTTTCATCCTTCAACCCACTTTTTGCGAAAACAGTTAAGACAAACATACCAATGAATTTCTCATCCATTTTTGAGCTCAAAGAAAAACTGGCCATGTTTAAATACTGTAGTGACCAAACTATCACTCTGATAGACATTTTAATTTCTTAGAATTCCATCTTTTCCCCACCGTCCTCATCTAATTGCTCACCAAGACCCTTCAACATATATCCTAAGGCAAATTCTCATCACATTTACCACTCCCACCAACCACCATCATATCTCTTCCAGACTGTTGCAAGAGTCTATGAACTAGTCTCTCTGTTTCCATTCTTCACTCCCTATAAACCACTCTCCACATAACAACCTGAGTGCTCTTTTCAAAATATAAATAAGATCATGTTACGTCCAGCTTAAAACATTCCAAATCCCTATGGTAGCCTTTAAGGGACCTTGTGATGTGGCTCCAGCCTGCCTCTCCAACCTAGTTTTCTCCTACTTGCCCCCTTCTGTGCTCCAATGAAAAGCCAAGACTACACTCACCTCAATGCCCTCATGCTAGTTGTTCTGTCTTCACGTCATGATTTTCTGCCCAGGTGGTCACGAGGTATCTCTTCCCAACCAGTTCCCAGCTTAAATACTATCTCCTTACAAAGGTCTAAAGTAGGCCCTTATGCACTCTAGTACATCAACCCTATTTATTTTCTTCACAGCATTCATAACTACCTTATATTTTCTTATTTATTTATATCTTTTCCCCAGCTAAAGTGTAAGCTCCATGAGATGAGGGTCTTACCTTATTCCCACCTGTATTCCCTAAGTGGTACACAGTAAGCATTCAATAAATACTTGTTAAATAAATTAATAGATCTTAAATAAATATTTTACTTAGATTAAACTTACTGAAAAATCAGTAAATTATGAAATTTGCCTCCTATGGTACCTCTCCCAACTCTAGAGATTCATAATAAATGTTTTATTTTTGTCTGTTTTTATATATCAACCTAATTAAATGTTACACAGGAATCATTCACTCTTTGCTAATACTTTCAAACGATTACAGAATATCTGCCTTTTAAATGTTCTTTCCACTGAATATTCTGCTTGCTGTTTTATAAGATAATTTTAAAGCACTAATCAGAAAACAAAAACAAGCCCAGAAAAATCCAAATAACTTTGCTTAACTAAGCACTAGTTTCTTCTGCATGTCTGTTTCAAGGCCTATTCAGTTTTGAGAACTAAAATACTAACTTTCAAATGCTCTAAGTATTATGACAGCACAGAGGAAGCAGAGGCAAGAATGATTCATTTTGCCTGGAGAAGTGTGAGTAACTCTGACCACAGACTAGAGAATGAATTGGTAATGGGGAAGGTAAAAGCAATGCAAGGAAGGCCAATTCCATGAGAACATGTTAATACTCTAGACAAGAAACAAGGACTGGTGTTAGGGATACAGCAAGGGTGAGAAAGAATAGATTAAAGATGTACATAGAACTTTTCAAGGCAGTTTTGGTTGTTAAATATAGTAGCTGAGAATGAGAACACCTAACATAATTTTCCAATTTTGAATATCTATGAGTAAGAAGGTGATGCCATTCAGCTAGGTAAGGGCAAAAAGGAGCCATTTGGGAAGAAGAAAGATTTCAGTTTTGCACACAAAATGAACAAGGTATCTCTGCAAAAAAACAGATTTTGTCATCTATGTATGATGATAATCATCAAGCAAGGGGCATGATGAGACAGTGAGGGAAACCATACTCAGAAAAGAATAGGACCAAAGAAGGAATCCTGAAAAAGAGACTGAAAAGTGGACAAAGGAGAGAATCCCAATACGGAAATTGAAAAGAAATGAGAACCAAAGGTATACACATCCACAAACGCATATATTCATATACAGACAGATATATAGACAAGTGAAAATTTTTTCAAAAGATCATATTTTAAGTTTAAATTCAAAATTTACTTTTATTGTCAGTTTTATTTTATTTACTGAGTTTATTAATAAACCCATTATTTATTCTTTTCAGTGCACACTCAAAAGTAATGACATGCTTAGTAAGCATTTTTTGAAAATATATAATAAATATACCTGAAGTACGTAGTCAAGGGCTATGTGTCGAAAACATTTTCTTGTTGCCGTCAAAATGTTTGTGGCTTCTTCAACTTCATGCTGTTTGTTTCTTTGTACTTGAGCATTTTTTACTAATGCATTTTCTTTTTCTTCACTGACTTTTTCAAATTGCTTCTTGGCATCTTTGAATTTCCTGAGATCTCTAAAAAATAAAAGCAGTGAAACTTTCTTGATCAAAAACTTTAGCAAAATAACATTTAGAATTTAAGCCCTATGTTCCCTCTATTTATTTGATTCACTGTGCATTGAAACTCAATAGCTTTTGTACATTTTTCAATATATAACTGAAACAATATATAATTAAAATATATTGTCTTTCAATTATATATTATCCTGACATAGTCAGCTAACAATTCTGTACTTAAATCCATAAAATTTGAGGTGAAAATAAATTATAAAATTAAAATTACAGAACATAAAAGGCAAAGTTTATTTTTTCGGAAGACAAATTCAGGGACATGTACCTTTATTTAACCAAAAGATTTTTTAAACAGTAGTATACATAAGAATCACCATAAGGAACTTGTTAAAAATGCAAATTCCAAGGCTTCTCTCTCAGAGATTACAATTTATTAGTCTTTAGAATAAGTCTCAGAATCTGAGAATTTTTTAAGATACACCCTTGATTTTACCGCTATGGGTGGTCTACACACCACAGTTTAACAAACAACATTCATTTCTTGTTTAAGGGAACTACTGGGCCAATAGTAGTGGTATCAATATATTGATATTGGGTATCAATATATTCTTAAAATACACACACATAATGCTTTCAAAAAGAATTGTGTACCAGTAAAGGGTAACAGTATCCATTTCAATAGTCTGAAAATCTGAAACCCATGATTCATTAACGATCTTAGGTAAGTACGGACCATCCCTTTGCTTTTACTTTTTCTACCAGGGAACTAAGCAAGATAACTTGAAGACAAGCGATTTTTTAAAAATAATAATAAAGTATACCTAAGAAAGATTTTAAACTCCTTTAAAAAGCCATAAATTTACATGTATACACTCTATAAGGACATTCTGTAGGTTAGTGTATTATGAAGAAATTTATAAAGAATCTGCAAGACATCACCTCCAAGACAACAAATTCTAACCTACTAAAACAGCTGTGCATGATATTCATGAGATCTGCTACTACTTACAGCTTACAACATCTATAATTTATCTGAATACTGTATTATCATCAACTTTATCTGTAATTTTATATATTCTCAGCTAGGAATTAAAAGAGAAAAGCTGAATTACTAATGTGGGAAAGTAAAACTTTCCTACCTGGAAAGTTCAGATATTTCTTATTTCTAGTTTCATTTTACTTCACATAAAAAATGTGATGAATGTGACTCAAAAGGCTCATAGGTAGCAAAAAGCAACCACTTTCATTACTCATTCTCATCTATTACATTATCCTCTCTTCAAAGAAAATACCATACTGAGACAACGAAAAATTTAGTTTCAACTACAATAACTGACAGTATTTCAACCACTTTTGGGATTTGCTTTTATTGTGAAAGGTCATTACATTATTTATTTACATTAAAAACTTTTTTGTAATCTGTAACAATTCCAGCTACGTATGCTAAACACACATTTCAGAGGATAAATGATCCACAGAAAGGCATAAAATCTGATTCCCTTAACAGAGTAATTCAGGAAGAAATGCATGATTTCTTAAAGATTTCATAAAGCAAAACCACAACAAAAACTCCAATATTTTCGGTAATTCATGGTTCATAATTTCTCTCAAAAGAACTCAATTCCCAGATGTGACCATTAACTGGTTGCTTTTCTTTCCTTTCCACTGCAATTGACTTACTCTTTAACAAAGTTCTGAAGCTGTGCCTTAATTGATCTCTGAGTTTGGTCAAATAGGATCTAAAAGATAAAAGGTAACATTAAACAATTAGAAAAGGAAATAAAATAATTTCATGGAGTTCTATAAATATCACATCCCTCCATCAATACTCTAATTTCTAATAACATCGATATTTCTTACTGAAGGCTACATAAGAAATAAACATTTTAAAAAGAAACAAACTAATTTTCAAGCCAATTTCATCTGTCTAAAACATAAAATTACTTTCATCTACAGAGGAAATAAAATCTGATTTAATATTTAAATAGAATGCTCCAACAGTAGTGTAATTTATATCCTTGATTTTAACTCAGGCTTTAGAAGAAACCTAAAAAGAGTAATAATACAAATTCCACTCTATCCACCACAGAAACTTCTTACTCTCATATATCAAAACATACCAAGTGAAAACAACTCCAAAATTGCCTTATATCTTAGTTAAAGGTTACTCATTTGGGAGACCTGGGGATTTAAATGTTTTACATTCTGAGTTCAAGTAAACATTATATAGTTCTTTAGGTTAAATGATTGCTGAGATTAGAGACAAGAATAAAATTTTATTCCTCAGGACAATAATTTGCCCCACTTAAATGAGGCCACATATTTAACTCAGATAGCTCTGTGTATGGTAAATTTCACAGGCTTGTCACGGGAATTTCAAGTACTTTCATAATTTACAGATAAACTTCATTCAGAGTTTGAAACAGATGCCAGATGAACAGGCAGAAAAACCAATATTCAAAATAAAAAGAAAATCCTATGTCCTTCTACTAATTAAAAACAGTACCAATTTCATTCTCTCTGCAGAGAGAATTTTTTAATTTTTGCTATTAACAAAAGTCTTACGTTCTCGCCTAAATACCAAACATACACACACAAAATCTGAATTGAGTACAGAGTTTCAAAATCTGCCAATTTACTTTCAGATAGAAAAAAATTTTTTCTCTATTAAGTTAAACCCAAGTATTAAATCCAAAGTGAGCAGAAAGAAATAATAAAGATCAGAGTAGAAATGAACTAAACAGAACACAGAAAATCAAGAGCCAAAATCAAAGAAATCAAAAGGTGGTTCTTTTAGAAGATCTATAAAATTGATAAACCTCCAGCCAAAGTGATCAGGAAAAAAGAAGAATCAAATTTCAAACATCAAGAAGAGAGGTGACTTCATTAGATTCTACAATATTAAAAAGGATAATCAGAGAAGTTGGCGAACAATTTTACGCCTATAAAAATAAACATATAACATGGGTAAATTCTTTGAAGACAAAAACTACCAAAGTTCACTCAAGAAGAAATCAATAACCTAAACAGAATTAAAGAACGCGAATCTATAGTTAAAAATTTGCCATATTGTATCAAGTTAAAAATACACTTACATAAAACCTAGCAATCCCACTCCTAGGTATTTGCCCAAGAGAATGAAAATTTAAGTTCACACCAAAAACTGTAAGCCAACGTTTAGAGCAGTTTCACTCCTAATTGCCAAAAACTGGAAACAACTCAAATGTCCTTGGAGAAACAAACTATGGTACATTCATACAATAGAATACTACTCAGCAATAAGAAAAAAAAAAAACAACTATTAGTACATGCAACAACATAGATGAATCTCAATGCATATTGCTAAGCAAAATAAGTCATACTCAAAAGGCTACAAGCTGTCTGATTCCATTTATATGGCATTTAGGAAAAGGCAAGACTATAGGGATGCAAAACAAACCAGTGATTTCCAGTGGTAGGGGGTGGGAGTGAAGGTTGACTAACAATGGGGTAACATGAGGGTATTTTTAGGGTTAATGGAACTGTTGTGCATCTTGATTGTGGTCTGGAGACCCAAATGTAGCATGCATTTGTCAAAACTCATAAAGCTGTACACCATAAGGAAATCAGTTTTGCTATATTTAAATTTTAAAATGACTTTAAAATATGAAGAACAATACAGATATAAACCAACAGATTTTTTAAAGAATTAAGAAGAAACAAACAACATGACTAATGAGGTTGATTCAAAGGACAGATAAAGAAACAAAAAACCAACACAAAGAAAATACTCATTCTTCTGAGGAACACTACTAGCATTTATGCAAACTGACCACATAATAAGCATAAAGCAAGAATATGGCATCATATAGAACATGTTCTCTGACCACAATGAAATTAAGTTACACTATAAAGTACTAAAAGGAGAGAACTACTGATACACGTAACAATATAGATCAATCTCAAAAATGGTATGCCAAATGAAAGAAGTCACACACACACACGCATACACACACACACACAAATACCGCAGGTTTCCATTTCTATGAAGTTATAGAACAAGTCAAACTAGTTATGGACAAAAATCAGAACAGTACTTGCCTTAGGGCGTGTGGGTTGAGTCTGTCTGAGAAGAGTATGGGAGAACTTTCTGGGTAACAGTAATGATTTTATCTTAAAAGAGATTTGGGTTACATAAGTGCATGCATTTGTCAAAATTCATGGAACGGTACACATTAAGACATGCATTTAACCGTATTCAAATTTAACCTCAAAAAAATTTTAAAAACTGTAAAAATATTAAACTCATAATTATGTGTGGAAACCTGTTTAGGAGTGAAATATACTGTTGTCTACAACTTACTTTGAAATGCATCAAAAACAAGTAGATTGATGTATGGATAGAAGGGAAGATAAATGGATAGATACGCGATAAAGCAAATATAGCTAGTGGGTGAGTACCTGAATGTTTATTGTAAAATTATTTCAACTTCTGGTAATAAAGTATCAGAAAAAGCCACTCCCCCCAAAAATAAGTAAGTAAAGAGAAAAACCCCTCCTAAAAGAAAACTCCACAAAGATGTCTTCACTGGTGAATTCTACCAAACATTTAAGGAAGAAAAAATACTACTTCTATTCAAACTCTTACCCAAAAACTCTCTTCTATCAGAAAATTTGTTCTATGAGAAAATTCTTATGAGGGACAGAGCCAGACAAAGACATTGTAAAAGAAGAAGGCCACACCCAATATTCCTAACGAACACAGATGCAAAAATTCTTAACTATATATAGCAATCACATATAACAACAGTATATACAAGGGACAATATATCATGACCAAGTAGGATTTATCCCAGGAATGCAAGACTGATTTAACTTTCAAATATCAATCAATATAATACACCATGTTAACTGACTACAACAAAACTATATAACAATCTCGATAGATGCAAAAGAGCATTTGACAAAATCCAACACCCATTCCTGATAAAAATTCTCAGGAATCTAGAAACAGAAGGGAACTTCCTCAACCCAATAAAATGCACATATAAAAAACCTACAGCTAACATCATATTTAGTGGTGAAAGGCAATTTTCCCCCTATGATCAGAAACAAGGAAAGGATGTCTGCTCTCATCACTTCTATTCAACATTGAACTCGAAATCCTAGCAATGCAATCAAGAAAGAAAAATGAATAAAAAGCATACATATTAGAAAGGAAGAATATAAAACTGCCTTTATCTACAGACAATATGATTGACTATATAGATAACACTGTGGAATCTGCAGGAAAATCTACTAGAACCAAGAAGTTAATTCAGCAAGGTTGCAGAGACAAAGTCAGTATACAAAAATCAGTGGTATTTCTTTCTCTCTCTTTTTTTTAGTGGTATTTCTATACACCAGCAATGACTAACTAGAAATTGAACTTTTAAAAAAATATCATGTACAATAGCATCAAATAGGAAATGCTTAGGGATAAATCTGACAAATGATATGCAAGATTTGTACATTGAAAATTACAAATTATTGCCAAGAGAGATTAAAGAAAACTTAGACAAATGAAGAGATATACTGCATTCATGGATCAGAAGACTCAATATTAGTAAGATGTCAATTCTCAACAAATTGATCTATAGATTTGATGCAATCCCACTCTAAATACCAGTGAAAACCTGATTCTAAAATTTATATGGAAACATAAAGGACCTAGCACAGCCAAACTAATGTTGAAAACAAAGAACAAAGTTGGAATACCTACACCACCTGATTTTGAGACATTATAAAAGCTACAATAATCAAAGCAGTTGAGGTACTGGAAGAAAGATGGCCAAAAAGATCAATGAAGCAGAATAGAGTCCAGAAATGACCCACACATAAGGTCAATTTTTTTTAACAAAAGGTGCCAATAGGGAAAAAATCTGGGGAGCAAATGGGGCTGAAACAAACAACTGAAGAGCCATATGCAAAAGAAAAGAACCTCAACCCCGTACCCTTACCAGGCAGGCAACATATACAAAAATTAACTCAGAATGGATCAGAATAAAATCTTAGTGAACTCAAGTTAGGCAAAGATTTCTTAATAGAACACAAAAAGAAAATTATAAATTAAAAAATCAATACATTGATTTCATCAAGATTAAATACTATTGCTCTTCAAAAGACACTGCTACAAAAATGACAAAGACAAGCCAAAGTCTGGGAGAAAATATCTGTAAAACATTTATCTGACAAAGACATATCTGGGATATAGAGAGGACTCCTAAAACTAAATGAAAGAAAATAAACAACCCAATTTTTTTTTTAAACAGGCAAAAGACCTGACATTTCACCAAAGAAGATACATGCATGACAAACATGAAAAGATGCCCTGCATCATTAGTTACTAAGAAAATGCAAATTTAAACCATACTAAATTTAGAAAGAATGACCATACCAAGTGATCATGCAGAGCAACTAGGACTCTCACACACTGCTGGTGTACAATAATACAATCAACTTTGGAAAATAATGTCCAAATTTTTGGAGGTTTTCTTTAATTTCTTTAAAGAAACTAGAATTTTTTAGAAATTTATTATATAAAATAATGTTAACATCATTATTGTAAACATTAATAAATAAGTAAAAAAGAAAAGAAACTCTTCTTTCCTTAGTTTCTCTTAGCAATGTTTTGCAGTCTTCACTATACAAGTAGTTTTGTAAAAAGTTACACATAACCCTATCTTACAAACTAGCCATTCTACTCGTAGCTATTTACACA